ATTGACGGTTTGGTGTAGAAACTTCATGGTTAAGGGGCAATTCTGTGCAAATTCCACCAGCACTGTCATTCCGGTTACACTGGTTTTATCATTTTTTGCATGTATCTAAACTTTACAATCCCAGAAATACTAGTTCAAATTGAACATTCAAAAAAGATACGTGTTTGCCTTCTTCTTTTGGCCTCGATGAAGATGGTTATTTTATAGGTAGATTCACACTATAGCAGAACTTAGATAATCCTGAATCAAAAGAAGAGTCAAGATCGCATTCGTGTAAATTCTGTTCCCCAAATCTATTCTGTAGCGGAAAGAAACTAAAACGCGGAAATAGTGTGTAAACGCTGTAGTGCTTAATTCTTTTCCACGTCGTGCAAAAATACCTTCAGTTCAAATGAAACAACAGTATATTAGCCCTATGAGATAGAAAACGCTAAAGAAAGAGTCACTAAGACAGAGCAGGAATGGCCGAGAAAGTAGACGATTCAATGGGAATATATTCGACACTCCCTCGAAAATTTCAGGAATTATGTTCTAATTTGCACGTAGCTGTCATAGTTCGAGTCACAGAAACATTGAAACATTGTAACAAATTTGATTGATTTGTATTTACAGACTCAGCTGGGAGACGAACAGTATGTGTTCACGCGTTTAAATTACCTACTGGATCGTATGGCGTCTTCCGACACGCTGACACACGCTGTTGTGGAGCCATCCACGCTGGTACCATCCTCCGGTGTTATGCAGCAGAGTTCGGCTGTGCACACCACTGGAGCAGGGTCAATCAGTATTGTTGGGGCAGGGGTGTTCGCTAGTGCCAGTCTAGTCTCTTTCCGTAATCGGAAGGAAGTCGATTTAAACGAAGTCTGCACGACAATGCTGACGAAGATTCCAAAAGTTTGGTCGAAGGTCAGTTGTATTCTTTTGAAGTTTCAGTTTTTCTCTCCCGTTTTCTTTTGTTGTTGTTCCCATCAAACTCTTTTTTTTTTCATATCAAATCAAGTAAGCCTCTCTCCTACCAAAATCAGCATTATCTTGTCTGACGAAGGACACAATAATTTAAAGCTGCTGTCTAATAAAAGAAAAACCACAGGCACCTTAGCTTAGTATTTTTTGAGAGGACGTAAGCCAGCGACAGAAAGCTTTTTCTCAGTAGTTTGACAAACTTGTACGCCTTCAACAGTATAGACGAAGTCGCCCCCTTTCTTCTCTCGAGACGTGTTCCGCAGAGGTTTCGTGAAAAATTATATTGCAAGAATTTTGTTTTATTTGTACTTAACAGGAGAGTGTATACGAGCGGATGAAGAAGACAGGAGGACCAAATTCCTTTAATCTCTTTGTCATAGCTGAGATGGAATGTATGCATAGACTATTGGCGTGTGTTCGCGAAACTTTATTGGTAAATGACTGGTTTTATTCCCTTTTTCCATGCTACTATGAAATTGTAAGTTCTTTTTTTTTTGGTTGCATTCCAGTTGGAATCTGGCATATTAGTTAAATTTCTGAACAAGTGCAAATCTCAATGAAAAATTATTCGCCCTCTAATCTATCCGAGAAAACTTTTTTGAGTAGAATTTCCCCCTAATCCTTTGACCATTTTTCTTGACATCACCCATATTCACCTCCAGGAAAACTTGTCAAGGGAAATCTTCCCAGTTTGAATATGGCTTACACTTCAGGAAACCTGGAATTTGAGATCCTGATCGTAACGAAGCCAAAGATCTGTTGCTACTTTTTCTCCCTTAAATGTTATCGGGATACAATAACAATTGAGAAGCAGAAGGTGGCACGAGTAAAGTGATGATAACTTTGCAAATAATTTTCCTTGCCACTCTCGTAAATGTTCAATCAACTCGGAGAGCCACTAGAAGCAATAGTTTTCTGCCACACTAAAATCTGAACCGTTGCAAAATAAAAGAGGATCATTTTTCGTTTCAAGTTGTACTGTTGAGAACTTGCATGCTCTGAATTCTTTCGTGTGATATTTTTTTTTTTGCTGCTGATGTACTGATCTGTTTGTTGTAGTCAATCAAGGCGGTAACAGAAGAGAGTCTGTGTGGTGACCGTATCAGCGAGGAGCTACTGGACTCTGCTGATGACCTTTACCACATGAGAATTCCCAGCAAATGGAGTCAGCTGGGAGGAGATTCCTCCCCTCCCCCCACGTGGAGTTTGGCCGCCTGGTTTACCGACCTTGGAAACCGGTTTTCACATATTGACCGAATCATTGTGCAGGTAAATAATCAATGCGAAAGGCGGTTTGATGTTCTGATATTTCTTGAACTGAATCGGCTGAAATACTTGCTCTTCGTTTGTTAGGGTCGTGAAAGAGTACCGGCCTATTGGCTTGGAGCTTTCTTTAACCCACGGCGTTTTCTCTCCATCATCAAACAGGTAACACTACAACAGAAAACGTTTCATTTGTAAAAATTTGTGTCTGCGTTATGATCGTATTTATTAACACCGTATGGTGTTCCTCAGGAGGCTGTCAGAAACTACGAAGGAAGGCTTTCAGGAACAGAACCGTTTGTGTATCAAACAGAAGTCACGGGAAGAGATAAAGATCACGTGAGCAAGCGTTCTTTTTTTTTTTATTGAGGAGAGAAATTGTACAGTCGATGACCTGGAATCTTATTTTGAAATGTATTTGTTCTACTAGATCTTAGGCCTTTTCGAACCATGCTTACTTGACGGTTTCTTATGCAATGCAACAAAGGCGTTTTTTGAAATTACAACTTAATTTATTTTGTAGATGGTCAAGCAGCTGTAACTAACACTTCTGGTTTTAGTCTTGGTTTTAGTCTTGGTTCCTTTTTCTGTTTCTGGTGAGCTGATCTTATCAGTAAGAAGGAAAGGTTTCTTTTTTACACCCAGCGACTGGTCACCAGCTCCCTGAGACTCAACTATTGTGCAACTCTGATTGTTGCCCTGCGCTCACGATTAGTTCAAACATATTCGTTTTTTTAATCACTTTCCTTTAACCGTTTCATTAGCTCACTAATTTCTGTTTAATTTAATTTCACCAACTAGTTGAGAGAACCTCCGCTTGACGGAATGTTCGTGTATGGCATTTACTTATGGGGCTGTGCCTGGGAGAAAACCACCGGGGACCTCTTGGACGCTCCTCCAAAATCTGGCCCGACCCCTCTCCCTGTGGTACACATTGTTGCTCTTCCTCAGACTGAGAAAGCCTCCTTGAATGACCCTGTGCGTGCCGCTGTGTCATACTCGTGCCCATGCTACTCGTCCAGGATTTGTCAGCGAGAGCCTGTTATGCTTTTGGATGTGGACAACAAAGATGTTCCTTCCACGCGCTGGCCTCTTCGAGGACTTTCTAGTACATTAAGACCCTTTTAAGTGTCTTCAGTAGACACTAGAAACTTTTGCGCTTAATGGCCTTCTTTCAAGTAGAATCTTAATGAGTTCTTTTAACAGTTAATTCCGTTATGTGTCAGAGGTCGTTTTATTGTGCTTATATATTCCTCAATTGCTTTTCCCCGCTCAATTTTTCAAGCGTCTGTGATTGTTACAAACGTTAGCACTAACGGGTTCATTAACCGAATTCTTGCACCAGCTTGCTTTCATTTTAAGTACTCAAAATTGCGTTCCGGAATGAAAGTTCATTTAGTATAACTAGAAAACAAAACAGCAGTGCAGTTAAAAAAAAATTGTACATAAATGTTTGTCAGCATGATTCACACTTTGTTCCAACCACCTGTTCCGAACCGTTCGATCTTGTTTTTATTTTACGTCAAAAAGTTCTCCATTGCTGTTATCTTTTAGACCATAATTTATTACTTTGTAGTTCGGCGAAATACTTCTTATGGTCAAGTAAATGTAATTCATTTGGAGAGGATTCTCCTCACCATTTACGTTTGTAGAGAAAATTCAACATTTTTGACAAAAGTGAGGTGGGTGTGTTTTGTCTGCGTGCAGCTTCCTGCAGACTGCATGTCTGTAACAATTATTTAACATTTTACTGCAAGAGAAAATAGCCCGCTGACCTACTTTTTCGTTTTGTTGCACTTCTGATGTTAACCCGACTTTAAACAGAAGCATTAGTCCTGCCCAGGTCGCCTTCCGATCCCCTCCAATGGGTTCCTAACGGCCGACGAAAGCGAGGCTTCCCCCAAGAATCTTGGAGGAGAACCGTAGAAAGAGAAATGAGGGACAGAGCTTGGACATGGGAGCAGCTTGACCGACTGGCAACTGACAGAAATCAATGGTGTTCTGTGGCCGAAGCCTTATGTGCATGGACGCACGAAGAGTCCTAACTTACTAACCAAACAGAAGCACAGTTTGAACTTTGCAAGGCCCCTTTCCTTGCAACTTCATTGTTAGCACGCAAATAAAGGGTTAATCAAAAAAAGCAATAATGGACGGGAAGAGTGTACGAACTTGTTTTTCATAGACGAAGGATATGAAGGTTTTTAGTTTTTTTTCTTCTTTTTGACAGCCCCTCTTCAAATTGTCATCGCTTTTCCTCTTGCACTTTGACGTTTCGGTAATTAAGTTGCTTCTTTTTGTTTTCAAGTGGTTAAATAAGTCCTACATTTATGATCCTTTATCTTTAAAACCTGCCTCGAACTATGCTCTTTTCTCGTCTACACAATCTCTTTTTGTACGTTCCACGGGTCAACTGCTCTACACTTGGTGATCGGCTTTCGCTCATGCTGCTTCTGTCTTACGGAACTCGCTGCCGTTACCAATCAGATCCTGTAGCAGCCTAGCTACTTTTGAGAAACAAATCAAAACATTTCTTTTTAGGAGAGCGTTCAGCGCTAGTTTATAATACTTATTAGTATAATTTCAGAGCTGAACAAAGAGTTTCCAGCAATCTGATTGGTCGAGCGTTCCTTATATGACGCTATATAAACCGCTCCGCGCGGTTTATATAAAATGTTAAACTAAAATGTTAATAAATGTTACTAAAATGTTATGATTTTAGAAATTTCTCTGTTGTTCAGCTCTGAAATTACACTAAAACAATTATTCGCCTCAGGTTCGGTGAATATTGTCGAATAATTGTTAAATGTAATGTGAAGCGGTTTTGAATTTTAAATAGTTCTAGCGCTATAATCAACTGTTTTATATAATAATTGATAGCTAAAGGAAAGGCACACTACGCACACTATATTGAAAACAACATTATCGACAAGCACGAATCGAATGGTATTCTGTCAACTCTGACTCGAAGTACCCGGGTTGGTCAATTCGGTGACTCTGTTTTCATCTCCCTTGATGCACCGAGGGAACAGTGAAAGTAGAATCTGCTTGTAACCTCGGCGGTATTTTCCATTGCTCAGCCCGTAGATAAACGGGTTCAAACAGCTGTTGATCAACGCCAAGAGGGAGAGGACGTGGTGTAGTGTGTTGTCTAGTTTTGTTTTCCCCACCACTGCCAGGGTGTAGTTAATCTGAGACGGTGCGAAGCAGATTATAAGTGCTAAAGAAGCCACCCCAACCATACGCGTTATTTTCCCGCGCAGTTTAGCCTTTCCCTCGGCTGAGGCGACTGTTGATCTGCTTGCTTTATGAACCATGTGAATGAACAGGAACAACACGGTCAGGCACGGAAACGCCATTTTGAAAAAGGTTTGAATGACTGCCACGATGTTGCGGACTGTTTGATTGACCGAGCCAAAGTTCCATTTGCATCGGCTATTTGGGGGATTCGACGAAACGTAGGAGAGTTCAAACAAACTTGAAGCACAAAGGATAATCGACCACAGCCACACGAGGACAATGTAAACGAGTGTGCGCTTCTTGTTGAAGACCTGTTTGTACTGTTGAGGCTTGACAACTGCAAACCAACGCTCCGTTGCCAAAGCCGCCCAGATGTAGGCAGAAAAAACCACCATCTGGAAGAGAAACGTACGACTCCAAATAACACGACAGAAGACATCGCCCAAGACGTGATTGGTCGGATAAGGAAACGCGTCTCCAAGGACCAAAGCTGGGTTTGTGACGAGCATCAAGGCGGTGAGAACATCAGATATAGCCAAGCATAGAATCAACATGTTGTAGGATTTCTTCAACAACTTTGCTCTGTTCAGAAGGAGAAGGAGAATGACAAGCAGATTCCCAAGAAAGGCCACCGTGGCGATAATAAGGCAAGTTGTCTGAGTGTAGAGTGATCTTCCAATCTCTACGTCTCTTGCTGGCGCAGCAGAGGAAATGGTTGTCGAAGCATTCGATGAACCATTTGTAGAATTCATATTTGCACATTACTCGCGTTGGGTCTAGTTGGTGAAAAAGATAAAAGGTTGTGTAAGGCTCATTTAACCCTTTAACTCCCAGAGGAGATGAAAAAAGAATTTCCCCCTTTAATATCAATACATTTTCCTATGTGATGATAGGGTTGTCGCACCCAAACTGGGAAACTGAACCTTCGTGGACGGCACAGCAATAACTGGGGGAAAATAACTCGGTAGAGACCACTCGGCAGCGAGAACGGAAACTCGTCACAATTTCCTGGCACAAGGAGATGTACTTCGAGCGAGCTTATACGGACGTCTAGGATGAGACAGCGTTTGGTTCCATAGTAAACTTTATTCTAGGTCAGGCCAACAACTGACATGACCTTTTGCGTACTCAAGTTCGTAATCATCAAAACTGTACAAGGTAGTTGCTTATCAACTAACTGGTGTGAAGCGCTATATATTGTTATCCAAATCGACCATATTTGAACAGCATAACAAAAGAAGCGGTAAAGATCTCTTTGAAGTCAAACGAAAGCTACTTAAATATTCCCATCTGTTCCTACGACGAAAACAATTTAAAATTAAAAGGACGGATGCAATAAACTCGAGGCCATTAAAAATAGGAGAGACTTAGGTGAGAATTCACAGCTCTGGTATAGAAAATATACCTATCTTAATTGGAATAGCTCAGATTAGGAAATAAGAGTGGAAAAGTAACTAAAAGTTTCTGCTTATCCATGCAAGGTTGGTGTGGAAACTATCGTATGAAAGGAAATTAGAATTACGAGTATAAACTCAGCTGCCAACTACCACGAGAACTAATCTCGCCTGAAAGACCATTAACACTTATATTCTAAGCAACATGACAATCTGCGCTCTTTCCTTACATTTAGGTAGCTCGGAAAGCCGCAAAACTCTTAAACAAAAGTTTATCTTTCAAATCGGCACTCTTAATCCCACAGGTATCAACGAACGCTTTTGATTCGACTAATTCATTCGTGTTTTTCTCGTCGCCAAGTTCCCATCAATAGCGTAGCTCCACTTTCTGCATATAAACCCACACACAACCCACAATTCCTCCATTCAATCTTACGAAGGGCTGACGCTAACTCGAAACGTCACCTTTTTAACCCTTTACGGTGGCCAATTTACAATTTCAACTCAGTTGATATTACCAAATATTGAAAATTTACTTGTGGCTTTCTATCTTTTTAAAACATCCCAATGAAAGAAACTTGCATGAATTGTGAACGCTAAAATTCCGAAAACAACGCCGGAATAAATATGCTTCAACATCCCCAGGGAAAATCACTAAATTTTCCCGTAACACCTACAAACAGGTGATGAGAATGCTAAAACATGAATTTCAATCAAATCTGAAGATCCGATTGTAAACACTCCCCTCTAGCTGCTACACATTTCCTTGCAATTAAATGAAGTTCACATGATTTTCTCTCACGGAATCATTTTCGTCTCATTCTGCCTCAATCCTCAACATTACCGATACTAACAGTAAAGAAAACAAATATGTGCTCAGTTATATCCTTTCGTGGGTGCTTTAATCTTGCGGTGATTGGCCATCATGATGGAGAACGAAAAAGAAGAATATGCCCCATCAGGCCAGGGATTCAGTTTTAACATTTTTTCCTCACAGGTACCAAAGACCATACTCCACTTTTTTTACCTTTAATGTTTCAATTTCCCTCAAAAATGAATAAATCATAATAATTGTCGGTATGATCCTAGGACTTTGGTATAATGGGACGATCATCACCTGTTCTAAGATAACCGTGTTTTTTGGCTTTTTTTTGGTCTTTTCATTCTCGGTAAATGCAAACCAATAAACCAAATTACCTTTATCAAGGTGTCTGAGATTAAAATTTACTTACCTAAACTAAGAGAAACACTGGTTTGGACCTCTCAGTTCTGTGCGATGATAATTCGCTTACACTTTATTTTCATGAACTCGTCCATCTGCGAGTGTTTCGCGGTTTTTATACTAGCCTCTTTTTTGGGAGGTAATAAAAAGAAATTAAAATTGTGAAATCCTGACAGAGTTGTTCGGATGTGATTGAATAAAAGTTAAGTGTTACAACAAAGAAGTAACCAGAAAAAAATCCCTTTTTTTGTTTTTTACAGATGTTAACTTGAAACTCTTTCTCAGGGGTGTTACAGTTTAAATTGATTTACTAAACTCGCCCACGCAACCCTGGACGTTTTATTTTGAATATTTTGTGGTGTTATTACTATCATCAGTATCATTATGTTCCTATGATATTTAAATCATATACCTGTCCGTTGTTTACGAGTAAAACCAAACTCATCTAGTCCTTACTTGTCAGATACGTAGTTTATGGCTTTCAATTTTAATTGATATGGTTAACTGTGTTTATTTTTTCTGATCTCAGAAAAAACGTATCTTCCAGACTAGCCATCAAAACCACTTTTTCTCAATCTTCGGTGTCATTCCAAAAAAAAAAAAAAAGTTTTTCTCAGACCATTGATTTACCTACTGCAGTGAGTGAACATTTAACAATTTGCTGCATGAAATTACCTTACGCTGCACAAGCCTCCTATCTAGCGGATCAAAGTAGTACTTAACTTGTGACAAAATACTAAGACATGGACAACTGCTAATAGATTTACACCAATTTCGCCGAGCGATACCCATTTGCGCTAAAAAAAGTCATTAAGTCGGGAGATCATAAACCAGAGCTTAAAGTGCTACTGAGACGAAATCAAAATTGATGTTCTTCAAAACAAATTTTTTATGCCGACAATTTAAGTTTAGATCCTAAACAAAAAGAAAAAAATACAATTCAGACCTATCGCGGCAAGAAAAGTCCGAAAAATTTTTGAATAAAACTCACTAAATTTCGTCCGCCAATGCTCAAACCACAGGGGGCCCATACAATCTGTTTGTGAAGCCGATTGTTATTTTATAGTGAACGTACCAGATTTACCGTTTGCCTCGCCCATAGTGATATATTGCTGACTATGTATATAAATCAATGATAAATAAACGTTGAATTACTTTACCTGTGGTGTATAGTCGTCCTTTTGCCTCAAAAAATGATTTTTTGAGCGATTTTGAATAAGTTTGAGTTCGTCGTTAATGTAACGAATTAAAAGAAAGACAAAGGTGGAATCCTTGTTCTGAAAGACTTCCAGCGCTCGAGCAATTTTTTCCCCGAAAATCGCATTGCTCCGCTTTCAAACTTCGCAGCATTAAGGTCCAAAGATTCACGATTCTCCTCATACCTTCCAATCGAAAATTCATCCAAACGGACCGGAGCTAGCCCTAGAAGAAAATCAAAATGCCACAGTATTAGAGCGTCTGGGATGCGTTGCAAGATTCTCATGTGCCAGCCAGAAACCTTCATGAGGTTTCCCTTTTCTGATTGGACGAGGTTAAACGATGACCAATTCATGGCCAGCTGAAAAGTGTTTTCCATATTCTAGGAATGGCACCCGGGGCAATCCTTTTTCATGTCTAATCTACGTCGATACTCCTTTCGGGTGGAGGTTTGAGCGATGTAGGCGTACGAATGCCATCCATTAGCTTTCGTAACTATTTCGTTTGGCCTGTGTAGCGATATTTCAGCAATCGTATTAAAGAATAATTGCCCAATCCTGCATAACACAACTCTGTAGGGTGCCATTTCCGGCCTCAAAACGACGATTAGACACTCCTAGAACTATTCAAGTACAACAATCTCCGTCCATTTTTTGGTTAAGAGCCTGCGCGAAAGTTTAGGGGATATTGACTATGAAGTCACAGACTTACGCGCGGCCATTTCGCAGTTTGAGTAACGGCGGACGTCGAATCGAGGAAAGCAAGTCTAAAAGAGACAGACTTCCACTTCGAGTTTTCATTCCAAATTTCGTGAGAGTGGTAAGTAAGGATTCTAAAATGTGAAAAATCTGGCAAACGCTAAATTTGGTCTTAGTAGCACTTTAAACTGGATACACTGATGATCTCAAAGAAATAACTCAATTCCTCTTTACTCATCCCTTACGAGACAAAAATCAGAAGAAAGGAGAAAATCCTTTGTGTATTCAACGACTTCCCCCCCGACGCTGTAATCTGCAGTTAGTCTTTTTTGTTATAAGTTTGACTCTTATTTCTCTAATTTATTTATTTATTTGACGTGTTCTTTTTAATCAGTCATGATCGAATTTAGATTGATAAACTTTTTTGAAGAGATCGTCGAACTTCGCTAGTAAGAGGTAACCAGTAGTAAGCCACTTCACAGCATTTGAAATGAAATCTCCACTTCAAAGAAATTTATCACTTGGCCGCCGTATTTTCTATCTTATACAGAATGGTAATTGAACCGGGTGGAGTGCAATTCGGACTGAAACCATACGCGTGATTGCAAAATCAAACGAGCTCGCAGCAAGAATCACAAGTATGATTTTAGAACAAAAAATGTTGCGCTACACGAAGTTAAATTACCACTTCATTACCTGATTTTGAACTGAAAAATACAGGAATTTTTAGTCTCTACAAATATTTTATTGATGCAGCGTTGAGCTGGCTTGTAAAAAGTTGTAAAAGCTGTCTTTCATTTTCCTGCAATTCAGTTGCTCAGTTTAAACAAGCCTTGAAATCTAGATCAGGGCCCAGTTGCTCGAAGGCCGATTAGCGCAAACCCAGAGTTAAATTTTAATCCAGTTTTCTATATTTCTTTGCATGTTCAAAAGCCGTTTCGGGACAATTTTCCCAATTCTTTTTAGAGCACTCAATCATCAAATTGTAGACAAATGGAATTAAACTGAACTTTCTTTTAAAGCTTCTAGATCTGAAATCAAATTTCACACTAACCCTAGCTGGGTTATCTTAACTCACCTTTGAACAACCCGGCCCTGATTGGCTGTTGTGTTTTAGTATAGCTTTCTGACTGGCTGAGAAAAAGATGCGATATAGAGCATAAAATGGTTCGATTCGTGAATAAATCGCACCAATGAGAGCCAATAAAATTACAAGGATCACCAGTGATCCCAAAATGGATGCAATAAATTAAAATAATTCTAGACCATTTTTTGTGGTAAACCATGGACTTATATCACTTGTCTGTGGTATTTTTGTGGCTCCTGCCTCCTCTCTCATGGGGATCTAGTTGAGTGAGTTAGTGATGGAAAGTAAGGATAGAAATCCTAACTTGACCTAGTTTTAACCGATGTTTTCCCGGTGCCACTTATTGTTTTTGTCGGAGTATCTAATTTGTTCGAAATTCGCACTCGATACATATTTGAGTTCTCTCCTTTTGTGATTTCTGGCTTATCACCAACAGCGCATCATACCGATTTTCATTTCTTGCTGTGACACTACAAAAGACAAGAACGTCTCAAAATAATTTCAATCTTGTAATTTTCATTCCGAAATGAAAAAAACTTCTCGCAAATATCTAAGTACGTGGGATCTGCACATCATGGAAACTGAGGAAACTTTTTTTACTTCGAACAGAGAGCATCATTTATCGTTTGAATTAGCGACATATGCACAAAAGAGCCGCTAAATTTGCGAAGCGAGCAAGGTCCAAAAAACAATACCTAGGCCCTATTGCTAGACACAAGCCGCCGATTTGCAATTTTGGACACTAGTGACCGATTTCCGATTTCGGACATTAGTGGCCTATTTGTGATTTGGACACTAGTGACCGATTTGCGATTTTAGAGACTAGTGCCGGCCGACTTGCGATTTTGGACACTAGTGGCCGATCTGTGATGTTGGACACTAGTGATCGACTTTGGATTTTGGACGCTGGTGGCCGCTTTGCGATTTCGGACGTTCGTGGCCGATGATGGATTTTGGACACCAGTGGCCGATTTGCCATTTTGGCTACTAGTAGCTGATTTCAAATTTTGAACACTAGTGTCCGATCGATCTATTTGCCATTTTGGATACTGATGGCCAATTTGCGATTTTGGACATTAGTGGATACACTGGACGATTTGCGATTTAAACACAAGTGGCTGATTTGCTATTTTGGACATGAGTTGCCGATTTGCGGGGCTGTGTTAACCGGGGGCGCTTCTCCTATTTGGGGCTCTTTGCTTATATTACTTGCTTGTGTGTTTACTTGATTTTATTTACTTACTCGAGGTGCTGCACTTACTTGAGGCGCTTTTTCTACTTTACCTGTTTTGCTTACATGAGATGGTTTGCTTACTGACTTGGAGTGCTTTGTTTTCTCTCGGTGCTTCGCTTAGTTGGGGCGCTTCGCTTACCTGAGGTGCTTTGCCTTCTTACCTGCTTTGCCTACTCAAGGTGCTTTCCTATATGAGTTCTACAGATACTAAAGAGTTGTGTCTAAATTTCTAATGTATATTCAAAGGCTAAAATCATTATTAGTTCTACTTGGGGATTTTTCTCTTTATTAATATGAACCTAATGCCAGTCACCGTTCCAAGCCAAAACGTATCTCCTTGTGTCTTAGTTTGTTTTTTTGTTTTATGCGTTTTGTTTCAGTTGTTGTTGTTGTTGTTGTTGCGGTAGCCTTGGAGCAGACGCCTTGTTCATTAAAGTAAGTTGGTAGCAAAACCGATACTAGAGACCATGTTATTTCTCTTAGTTTGGGAGATTCGAAATTAACCAGTGTGGCTGGCGGGCTTACGAGCAGTAAAGAAATTGGCTGGCTCCTTCAGAAGCTGGCAAATATTCTCAGACAGTGGCCATCGTGCGTATAATTAGTAGTTATTATTCGTGCTCGTGTGTCGTTGTGCCCAGTGTTTCGCAGTGACTGAGCTTGCCTTCGTAGTAAGAAAAAGTAAAATTGCATGTTGATCGAAATATAATATAATCTCGACAGAAAAGGAAACGAGTTTTACTTCATGGGGCGAAGTCGCACGGGCGGTAGCCTGGGGGGCAAAACCTCCAGTTGTCGATTGCTTAGCGCACAGAAAGGCCATATTAAAGCTCACGATAAGCCTCCAGCCACGCAGGCTTGCTAAAAAGTGAACACTGACTTGCTAGGCATTCCCCAGCTGACCAATAAAAATGCTTGAAAGCACCAATTCGCATGTAAGGTATACTATGATAAACATTGATCTTTAAAAATAAAATCTGCCTATTCGAGTGGGAGATTTTACGTAGCAGTACATTTTAACAGTAACAGCTATCGGTTCAAGTTATGAATGCTATAGGTGGAGCAGTTTGTTCCCTTTACTTGAGAAGTACTTTACCGAATATGTTGAGTATATCCACCATGATTTTCTTTTAATTAAATATTTTGGGAACAGATCGAAAGTCGTGCGTTCCTGAAATTTCCGATCATGCATCAAGACTAGTAGGGAATGACAATAAAAAAGAAAAGACAATTAAAACAATTGAGATCATATAAATTTCATATTACTATTATCAAACGGTCGAATTATTGTGGAAGTATATTACGTATGGGAGCACAGGGGGAGCACTACAGTCGAGGATAGGAATAAGAGTCCCCCCCCCCCCCCATCACTGCCTCTCCATTCACATCTTCTGCAAAGCAGTAACTCAATGCAATAATTCTGCCCAGGTTGGCGAACCACACGAAAACATTTCATACTCTGCCAGAATCAATCAAATTGAAGAGGAAGTTTTTAAGTTCTCTGCTCTCGCGCTGCGAAAAACTCAAAACATGAGAGTCAAACACTCAGCATTAACCGTGCATAACAACTATACATGCGCGAAATTCTAACTTTGAATAAGACATAAATATTTAATGGTTCTTTGTATTTAATTTGAATACATTCCTGACTCCAAAGTACCTTTCTTAGACAAATTAATTTGCTGAAAGAATTGACAGTTTCTATTCGTGTTTCGCAGTTGGACCCCCCCGGTCTCTTCGGCTGCGACTCCGCAAGAGAAAAAGATTAACGCGCTAGTCTACACGGCCTTAAACATACAAAACCTGACTATTTCCATCTTGCCTGTCACTAATTATTATCCTCTATGGTTGTGCTCATCAACCAATTCAAAATAATAAGAAATATTAATAGTATTTCTTATTATTAATTCAAAATCGGCTAATGAACGTCAGAGGTCATGATTGTCTCTGTTAATTAACTATTTGAGCCGAGGTTGTTTAATTATGTATGTTAGAAAAGGAGGAAGATGTGTTTGCAACCATAGTGACAGCCCCGAACAAACCCAAACTGGATGATAGTCCTTCAGTCACGCTCTAAAAAGCAGCAGTTGTTTAAGATCTTTGGAGAGCTTCACTCATCGTCTGTTTATAATATAACGAGAGGTCAGTCTTAATAATACATTTCTTAAACTGTGAGAAATAACTTATTCTATCTGTTAAGAGAATTCAAGCTGCCTGAATCGATAGTCAGTTACAAGTCGTCAAGGCTGAATGAGTCTATCTGAGCAAAAACGTTAGACATAGCATTGATCCAAAGATTATACACTTCCGTGAACAAGAGCAATGTTTGGATTGTCGATCAGGTTTGGAAGGTGTATATCTTACGAATATTCCGGCTGAAATTTTGTTCTCAGTTTTAGCTCTAACTGTGGTTGATATTTTATATTTTCAAAAACGTTTAAATTATTAAACATTTTTGAGTCTCAATGCGGTTGGAGGCATAAAAAGTCTTTACATCCCTTTGTTATTGGACTCACCTGCGTTGAATGTCACGGTGCAATAACTTCGTACTTCGCCCTTGTTTCCATATCTCTTTTGATCACCAACCAGGAAAATTATATTGTTTCTCAGTAAGGCGGAACTGTTTCAGTAACAATGCTGTGACGTTCTGAAAGGAATTCAATGAAAAATAAAAATTCTTGATCGTAATCAGGAATTCAGGCCAATATTTTGATATCCTGATGACGTTGTTTAATTTTAAATTACGGGCGTTGAAAACCAAAAACAAAAAATAGCTATAAATGTGTATGAAAATTGATATTTTAAAAATTAGAAATAGAAATAGTAGATTGCATAGGATCATATATCAACGAATAAATGGGTGGTTTGTGTGGTTAGTACCTCGAGCAACAGACCTAGAATCAGGGCCTGAATAAATTTAAAACTGAATGTTTTTTTCTTCATATGATTAGATTACAGTTTTGAGAAACGTTCGGTTACAGCGGCCAAAACTATGTCTTCATTTTTTTAATATACTTTGCTAAGAAGTCTAGAATCTATGGCTTCTTCAATGGGCGAAGTGTTGTGGAAGTCTAGCTAGCGGAGAATGAAAGTTTAAGAAATAAATTGAAACCCCGCAAAACCACTTGACCACAACCTTTTGACGCAGATAAAGGTTGCATCTCGAGACTCAAAACTGGGCGCAGAGTCATCTTCTTAATGTCTATTCTTGTTCCTGTTTGTAATCTTCATCTCTTTACTTTTAGACTGCTCCGTGAAAGTACTCTAACGTCACAACCCAAAATAACGTGACCCATAATGCCTTGAAGGTTCAAAGAAATGCTTGACAACCTTGGAGGATGAGTAACAGAAGCAGTGAGTATTTGCATAGTTCACAGAAGATTTGTATTGCGTTACGACGGAAATTCCAGGCCGCCCTTGCTAACATCATTCTATTTACGTATCTTGCACTCCTTGCTCTCGCTGTAGGTAGTAGTTATCGTTGTGTCCTCGGCTCCTTGAAAACATGTCGTACACTTTCGTTGGAGATCGAGATGGTGTGTACAGTCGAACCTCTCCGGTAGAAATGACTCAAGTGAACCCACAGCCGGTTCAACCTGCAACCGAAATACAGCTCCCAGATATCGAAGATTTCTCGCACATTACGCTTCATCAGGTAAAAATATGTATTTGAAAGTTTACTCTCTTTCAGCTTATTTAAACCCATGCAATCATGTTAAAAAGCTGTGTTCCAAACCCGTAAATTGCGCGCTCCCAAGTTTGTTGGTATTAAATTGCGTGATTGTTTAAATCTGTAGAATAAATGTTAAAGCTCTCTTGAGCGGAATAATAGAAATACGCACTTCGTACTTAGCGCTGATCATTGTCGGGCTAGAATGTTCCTCACAACAATAAGTCGCATCAGTACATTTTGTTTAACTGTTTTTGTGATAGTCGAAGAATTAATGATTTAAAATATTGTACTCTATTTGCAAGCAATGGATTAAACTTCACACAAACTTGACAAGTGATCAAATTTCAACTCTTTCACCAAAGTTTCTTAAGTCTTTTGTCGAAGTGTAATCTCATGCTGAAGGAAAAGCAGGTGAGCTGAAAGCGGTCCACGTTATTATTAATTATTCTTTGTCGAAGAAAGAACGTGAACATATGATAATTGTCACAATACAAATATTCCCGGAAACGTTTTAACATTCCAAGCCGTCGAGTGTCATGTTTCGTTCAGCGTGCGTAAAACCTCTTAACAAATTTTCCTTTCAATTTTCCCACCAAAATTTATTTTAGTTTCGTTCATTTATACTGATGATACAATGAAATTAAAAATAATAATAATGCTATCCATTCAAAGGGGAGTTTTTTGTTCAAAGCCAACTTGTGATATTATTTTATTAACTTAAGACCATTTGTTACTGACAACTCGGTTGTCAAAGCAACACAAATTTTGCCTTAATAAAATAGCATTTCTACTATTTCCCAAAGATAACTGATTATTTGGTACTCTTTATGGAAGACAAAAACAATTTTCAATGGAAGTATTTTCTAGAATTGTTGCATTACCGGTTGTGACTTTTTGTGCTATTTATGTTGTTATTTTATTTGTCTGAACTATGGTAATTAGAAAACATCATCTTGATCTGGAAGGAAAGTTGTTTTAATAGTAAAAAATTGATCATATTATGTAACAGTATATGAGTGGTATTTTTTTTTGTAACCACCTTAATGCACAGGAGAGATCAAGTAATAATCAGGAGAAGCTTGCCTACCTGTTGTTAGGGGKCAAGGGAAGGGGTTCAAACCAGTATATGATGCTCAACCCCCCAACACCCAAACAATAATATTGTTATTCCTCTTAGTGTTCTCTATACACTTCCAATAGTAATTACAATAAGAAATTGTTTTTTTTTAAAATCAAGATCTTCTTAAGTTGGCAATTCAATTTTCTTTATCCTCAAGACCGTAATGTTTGACTCAGCAGTGATACTATAAGGTGGGATAAATTAGATCATACTAGTCACTCAACCCAGTTTTCTGCTAATAATGTGTCATGGTTGTTATAATGGTGAAAATGTCTTGAATTTTAGCACTGGTTTTGAAAAATCCTTGAAATATAGGGGTTTTTTTTTTATATATATATCTCACTTTGGCGATAAACTGAATGATTTTGCTAAAGAGAAATTTGTCCACAAACTGCTGCTGAATTACAAAAAACGACCAGTGAAAATGCTGGTACAAAACATGAACACTTACAAGGAGCAAAATTTGGATCTCTGCCTTAACTTCACACACCAGCCCTCGCAGTGCAAGCACCCAAAATAGCCTGAGTTACTTAATTGGTACTAAATGCCATGGTCTCATCAATCAAGGCTGAACTATTTGAAAATTGTAAATGACTTAAGTTATTATAGCTGCATGCTGTAAGTAAAAAAAGGCAAGGAGTTTGAATGAAGCCGTATGAACCATGCACAGTGTTATTCATTCCTTTTTTGAGGGGATTTAAGACTGGACTGCAAATATACACATGGAAGAAAAAGTTAAAATTTTGTTTTTGAGTATTTCTCTGCTTACACAACTTTAATTCATTGATCATCTCTCACCCAATAATTATGTTTGTTGCTACATAATGTTGTGGTGTATACATCTGCTTGTTGAAGTTCCACCAGGGCTGGACACTAACTTTTCAACTTACTAGCCAAGTGGCATAGTGACATCTCAGATGCCTTTAGACAATTTCAGTCTGTTTACTTGCCAAACTGGCCAGTGGAAATTGAAAACCACTAGCCAAAACTGAATTTCTACTAGTCTGTGGTTAGTGGGCTACCATTAGTGTCAAGCCCTGTCTGCAAAGTTTTTCAAGACCACCTTGTCTTGCATTTATCATTTTGATATGAAATAAAACAAGCTTTTACATGAAATGCCTTGCCTGCAAGTCGAAAACAAAGTGCTAGAACAGGAGACTGGGACTAGTGGCTTCTGAAACATTCACATTTGCTCACAACAGTTAGTTTTGATTATTATTGTGTGTAGGATTAATTTTCAGCTTTTATTATTATTGTCTTTTCAGTTTTGATTATTATTGTGTGTTGGATTGATTTTCAGGCTGCAAGAGATGGTAAAATTGACATTATTAAGCAAAGACTTACAAAACTTACTTCAAAAAACCAAGCTAAATGTCAAAAACTAATAAACAAACGAGATGAGGACAATACCACACCTCTGCACTATGCTGTACGATATGGACAGGTGGAGGTTGTCAAAGCATTGGTAGACTTCGGAGCAGGTAATTCTTATGAATTAAGTTGATTTTTTATTGTAAGAGCACCCATGAAAGTCTAAATTCTGGAAACTAATCTACAAAGGAATATATACAAGCAGCTTGAACTGATTGCAAACTGAAAATTACCCTGAAACTTAGAGAACAGCAAACACCGAGAACTTTGATGGAATGTTATTGTTTTCCAAGGATGATAAAAGATAATCAGTTGTGAGAAAACTTAATCACAAACAGTAACAGTCATCAGTTTAGGGTTTTGAGGTTTTCTTGCATTTTCCACACTATAATGCCATTGGAAAGCACATGTTGTGATTGTGTTTTTACAGACCTGAAGTAATTAAGGTTTATATGTTAATGACATAAGCAAGAATCATAAAAAGAGTGGGATCTTGAGCACCTCAGGACCTCCTTTAAGCTACATCTAATTGCCCCTTTACATGTCAGGGTTTGTACAGGTCATGGAAAACCTGGAAAGTCATGGAATTTCAAAATTTCATTTTCCAGGCCTGGAAAGTCATGAAATTTAGGTGTGGGTCATGGAAAGTCGTGGAAAATCAATATACTCTCTATGAGCGAAAGGCAATAAGACCCAAAGTTGAAATTAGTTAACTGACTAGTCCAAAAATCAGATTTAATTTCATTAGAACAATACCATTAATTATTGCTTACCTTAGGTCATGGAATCTTTCAAAAGGTCATGGAAAAAGTCATAGAAAGTCATGGAATTTTAACAGGTCAAAAGTGTATGAACCCTGCATGTGGGTTCTCATACTACTGTTGTCTTTCTGACAGATATTGACATCCCTGGAGAGGATGGAGCGTCTCCCTTACATTATGCTGCAAGATTCCGAGCATCTGCCAGTAGACAACTGTCACAAGTTATTGCTGGTGATGAAAATGGAACAGTTACTGATGGGGTAGAAGTAAATAATATAGGTGTTGTAGCCACACCTCTGACACATGCCATCAGTTCCAACAGTCTTCCTGGAGAAGTGAATCAAACTATGTTTCAGGTCTGAAATGCATATGTCTGAAAAACAGAGACTCGATATTTGTCCTCAGAGATAACAATTTGCCCTGTGTTTTTTATTCTGTTTCTTTATTGTCAAAGTGTTTTGGGGAATGGCTACTCTCTACTGTCTAATATTTAGTGCAAAATTGTTTACAACCCATGCAGAGGATGGCCGGGGGGGCATGCCAATTACATGTACTTTTGCCACTCATTGTAGTTTAATTTCAACTTCCAAGTGTTCTAGGTTTTTACTTAACAGAACCTTCACACTAATCAATTTCAAACCAAACTCCATTTTGAGATCATTTTAACTTGGCGTTCATGTTTGACTGCAACATATACACATGCATATGCACATGTAATCTTTGTCTTATATAATTTTGCTATAACTTAAACTTCATGCTTTAAACAGAATGAAACAGAGATGTAATAGTTATTATTAAAAACTGGATCATTGGATAATGCAATTCAAGACTTTTTATTGGCTTAGCCATTATGGTATATGAGCCAATATACCATAATCTACAAATATGGTAAGTGTATGCGTCAGCTTAAAATCAAAAGGGAGCTAAAAAATCTGGTTTCTTCTTATAAAATAATTATTTCTTGGGGGCGTTTTTAATAAAACAATTATTCCACTTGCACTTGTTGGATATGAGATGATTATAGCCAACTTGGCGCTACACGCCTCGGCTATCCTTCATCTCGTATCCAACGCGCACTCATGGAATAATTGTTAAATAGTCCCTAATTTGAATTTTTTGTGATATCTCTTTAAAAAAATGAGACTGTCCAGCAAGTTGGAATGAAGCATTGACATAAGTTATGAAAATGTGCAACCATCCACATTGTCTCAGTTGCAGGACTGGTACAGACTTGATCTTTACCTAGCCCGCTACTCTAGCTTCTTGAGTGCTTAGCAGACCTTCCAAGTGCATCCATAACTCAATAGTGTACACTGTGGCATTACCATTTGTTTCATAACACAACATTGATACATTGTCGCAAAAGAGTTTTCTTTTATTTAACAAATCTTACATGTGCACATGCAATCTTTGTCTTATATAACCAGAAAATGACCAGAAACAAAAAGTGCATGCATTTGCTCATGTCAACAGCATACTCCCATGGGTAAATGGTGGAGGCTGAATTGACCAATCAGAGCATGCACGTGCTTTACTTTGGTTATGTTGTAATTAACAATTATTCCACGAGCGCGCGTTGGATATGCGTTTTATCAAAAACACTACATTAAATTATTAAATTTAATTACATTTTTAGCTCCCTCTCAATTTTAAGCTTATGCGTACGCTTACCATATCGTAGTTTATGGTATATTGGCTCATATACCATAATGGCTAAGCCAATGAAAAGTCTTGAATTGCATTATCCAATGATCCAGTTTTAATAATAAATACTATCATATTCATCAGTTATTATAATTATAATTGTAAACTGACCCTGGTAATTGTAACTCGGAAATCTGACACTGACATGTTTGCTTTTCTTACAGGTTCCTTCAGAGGATGAATCTCTAATACATTTTTTTGTGAATGAATGTGACGGAGATGTCAATGTTAAAGATTCTTATGGAAGTACCCCTCTTCATTATGCAGCATCTAAAAGCAATGCAACTGCTGTAAAAGAACTGTTGACGTGTGATGGGATTAATGTTGATGTAAGTTTGTCTGGAAATTTTCATGTAGATGATTTTTTGTATTTGGTAACTTAATAGACAAGCTATTAGGATACCCAAGAAAATGTGGAAGAAGATTACATTGTCTTTAAGGTATATGTGCACGATCCTTCGCAGTAAAGCACTATTTAATTTTTTTCAGGTCTGATTTTCACTATTGCTTAAATAGTGCTTTACTGCAAAGGATCGTGCACATATACGTTTCATAACCACTGTTCATATATATGTATTTCATATATATTTGTTGTTTGATTTATCATCTACGGGTTTGTGTCGAATTAATTTGATGGCCTACTCCCAGTTGGCTTGTTAGCTCAATTGGTAGAGCGCTGCACTAGTATCGCAGAGGTCAGTGGTTCGAATCCCGTACAGGCCTGAATTTTTTTCAGGTCTGATTTTCACTATTGCTTAAATAGTGCTTTACTGCGAAGGATCGTGCACATATACGTTTCATAACCGCAGTTCATATATATGTATTTCATATATATTTGTTGTTTGATTTATCATCTACGGGTTTATGTCGAATTAATTTGATGGCCTGCTCCCAGTTGGCTTGTTAGCTCAATTGGTAGAGCGCTGCACTAGTATCGCAGAGGTCAGTGGTTCGAATCCCGTACAGGCCTGAATTTTTTTCAGGTCTGATTTTCACTATTGCTTAAATAGTGCTTTACTGCAAAGGATCGTGCACATATACGTTTCATAACCACTGTTCATATATATGTATTTCATATATATTTGTTGTTTGATTTATCATCTACGGGTTTATGTCGAATTAATTTGATGGCCTGCTCCCAGTTGGCTTGTTAGCTCAATTGGTAGAGCGCTGCACTAGTATCGCAGAGGTCAGTGGTTCGAATCCCGTACAGGCCTGAATTTTTTTCAGGTCTGATTTTCACTATTGCTTAAATAGTGCTTTACTGCGAAGGATCGTGCACATATACGTTTCATAACCGCAGTTCATATATATGTATTTCATATGTTTGTTGTTTGATTTATCATCTACGGGTTTATGTCGAATTAATTTGATGGCCTGCTCCCAGTTGGCTTGTTAGCTCAATTGGTAGAGCGCTGCACTAGTATCGCAGAGGTCAGTGGTTCGAATCCCGTACAGGCCTGAATTTTTTTCAGGTCTGATTTTCACTATTGCTTAAATAGTGCTTTACTGCGAAGGATCGTGCACATATACGTTTCATAACCGCAGTTCATATATATGTATTTCATATATATTTGTTGATTGTCTTTAAGGTGTTGGAATTGATTAGTTTTGACAGTTCAAGCTACTTATGGCTATATCAGTAACTCATAATTGATAACTGTGTGTACCGGTATATGTTTTTCGTACTGCCAGGCAATAGATGCAAGTGGATCCACACCTCTTCATTGTGCTGCTACTGAGGATAATGTAGAAATTGTCAAGGTGCTACTGGAAGCTGGATCTGATCCAAGGGCAAAGGACAATGAACGGATGACACCAATTCACTTTGCCTGCACAGAAGGAAATGCAGAGGCTGTTAAACTTCTATTTGAGCATGCAGAGAGAAAGGGAGATGTGCTTGAGATGTTGGAGGACAGAAACAAGGAAGGTGAAACAGCGCTTCATTCGGCAGTGGAAGGTGGATACATTGACATTGTTGAAATATGTTTGAAGAAAGGAGCAAAGGTTAAAGCAAGACGAGGTAACCTTGCACAGCCACTGCACATTGCTGCTATCAATGGATATGTCGACATTGCAAAATTATTGGTTGATCACAGGGCCAAGATTGAAGCAAGGAATGCAAACCATGAGACGCCATTACACAGAGCTGCTGCCTTTAATAAGATTTTTATGGTGGATTTTCTCCTTGAAAAGTAAGATTAAGAAAGGTTAATAAATGAACTGTACGTGTTGTATTTCAAATTTCCACACCAAATTATAGGTAATTTTGATTTTGCTGTGTTTCACATAATTCTACTACCATTACCCGTGACAATTAGAAAAGAAAGTTTAAGTAGCCTGAAAGTTTGAAACCCGGCAAAGGAAATTTCATATCCAAACATACATAATTTTTCTTGATAACAATCCCCTAGACTAGTTTATCAAAACAGTAATTATAACTGGGTCATTTTAGGACGTTTTAGAGTTCTGGTTGGCTTATAACTGCATTGAAGGGCCACTGTCATTAATGGCACAATGTATAGAAGCCACGATTCCTCCAGTTTGATACACACCCTTGTAGGAGGCGGCGTGGCCGAGTGGTTAGGGTGCTGGACTTGTAATCCGGTGTCCCGGGTTCAAGTCCTCCACCCTGCCACTCACTGGATTTGTTCTCGGTTGCCCCTAGTTCAACTCCTCGGCTGCGCTCTGTAAATAGCCCACTGGTCTGCCTCCTGCCAGTGGGGATTTTTAAGCTCTTAGTTAGTCTACATTGTGGCTGAAAAGCCCCTAAAGGGGAGCTTCAATTAACGTATATTATTATTATTATTATTATTACCCTTCGTTTTGGTGGGAACTCAGGATATCCGATGCTTATTATCTGAATTGCAATAGAGGCTGAATGCATGTGCAATCAGAGAACCGTGACTGCTGGACATTTGATAGCTTTGATTATTTTCTAATTGCACTCGGTTGAAATTATTTTGAACTTTATCTGAACTATGAAAGTATTTAGAAACCCAACTTTAATGTGAACAATTTAAATATTTCTCTTGGTACAGAGGAGCTGATATTGATTGCCTTGACAAGGATAACTACACCCCCCTTCTAGCTGCTGCCTCAGAAGGACATGCAGATGTTGTGTCAAAACTCTTAAACAGAGGTGCAGACTTACAAGTAAAGAACATTCATGATAAAACTGCAATATTTTTGGCAGCCGAAGAAAACAGAGTTGACACCCTAAAGGTATGTTCCATGCATTTTATCGCAAGTGCGTATATATAGCTTATGTTAACTTCTATTTCTTTGTAATTATTTTGCTGTTTAACTCAGAGAATCATGCAACACTTGGATTATTTGGGGATTGGAGTGTTTATCATGACAAAATGCCAGTAAAGATCAGGACATGTAGGTGAACTGCATGCAAAACCATTATATTCAAACAGCTGCTTTAGATGTACCGTTACTGACCATCGAATATTATCAGGCATGATGTTACCGAACTGTTAGCATTAAGGTAAAAGTAAAGAAACCAATCCCACCAACACGTCGGCCAAAGCGTTGGAGTAAGTAAGAAAGGTTTGGTAAGGTAAGGAAGCGTTGGCCGACGCGTTGTTGAGATCGGATTCCGTAACTTTTACCCTATGGTCTATAGCCTTGAACTTTTCATTTGTCACAAGATGATTAATTTTTCCTCATTCTCGTTTCTCCTTCACTTAACATTTTTTGTTTACCGTTTTAAAAAGAAACTACGCTAGCCTTCAGAATTCTGCAGTTGATTGTTACTTTGTTTGAACTCAAAGGTGTATACAATAACTATGAATGATTTCACAAACTTTTGACAGGCGATCCTTGAGAACGAAAAGGCCAAATCTTTGATCAATGAGAGTGATCGTTATGAAAACACTCCACTCCATGTTGCTGCTCAGAATGGCTATGCCTCTGTTGTTCAGGTGAGGTTAATATTAGTGAGTAGCAAAACACTAACTGCTATTTGCTTTTATTTTGAATCGAGTAGTTTATCATCGTCTCATCGTATTCTAGGAAGTAGTTGTAAAACCCCTCTTACCTACCCTGTGAAGTTTATAGCAATTCAGCTTTATTTATTCCAGACCGCACATGTGTAGGTTAGAGTACAATATATCCATAGTTAAGTCATCAAGCAGGGATACAGGTATTTAATTGCAACGTTAATGTTTATGTTCTTTAAGTTTTTTTTAATGATGACCTTTCACAACATTTAATAGGCATTGTTGGATAATAAAGCAAAGATAAATGCAAGGAATGAAGATGAAAACACTCCTCTACATCTGGCTGCAAAACATGGAAAAATAAGGTATACACGCAGTAATTTACCTACCAATTGACACATAAAATTTGTTCGATTTGTGATTTTTAGTAAGATTATATTTCTTTGGAATAACTTTATTTTATTACGCGTGTAAATTGAAATTATAATGATCTTTCCTCTCCCAGGACTGTTCTCGAGCTTGTTAAGAGGGATCTTACCATTATAAATGATGAGGATGAAGCCTCAAACACACCCCTTCACTTGGCGGCTATAGAAGGTCACATAAAGTGCTGCAGGGTTCTGTTAGAAAAAGGAGCTGAAGTGGATGCAAGGTGGGTGGAATACCTTGAGTTCAGAGGTTACCAGTGGTTTCATACCCAAGGTCGCTTACGCTTAGCAAGTATTCATTTGTTTTTGTTGAGAATGGCACACTAGAATTTTACTTGTAGCATGCTTGCTTGCCTCTATTAGCTCGTGACACGCTACAATCGACATCTGTTTATTCACTCGCGCGTCAGGTCTTTCCAATGAATGACTGCTGGGACGGGTATGAATCGACCAGCTGTCCGGCTACCAAACGACTCAAACTGCATTTTTCATAGCTTCTCCTTGGCTGAGGGAATTTACAGTAATTAAGGGACAAATCGTTATTTATGTAGAAGAGGGTGGGAAGTCAGTGGTTTTTTCGTGGTAAAAGTGTGGGCTTTCTTTTTTTTTTTTTAACTACAAACAAGGAGGACCTCATCTTTATTTCGGTACAATGGACCATCGTAGACTGTGTGGGGGAACGTAACAGTGAAAATTCATGACCACGTTACTTGGGCATAAATCCAAGTTTGCGGGGGAGGGGAGGGATTTGAAAAGCAAGTAGTTAGTCCACTCAAAAATTTGGTGTAAGGCTATAACTTACTAAGTTAGGGTACTCCTGTTCTCCCCTTGTGCATCAAGTCGATATCATTTATTATAAACTTCGTGTGAAGCCGATCTACAGGTTGTACTTTCAGTTGTCATTAGCTTCTCTCCAATTTTTGACCCATCCAGATTGACTTATATGGTCATTATGGGCGTGGTATGAGCAGTTTTGATCCCCAAGCTTATTGGACTAAGGGAACACTTTTTTGGTAAAGTTCACCTCGACTAAAACATGTTTTTGTACTCGCTAATTGTGATCAGAGAGTTGAAGTACTCATTAAGACTGACAACTCAGTAAGAGTTGTTCCACGCTAGCTAATTATGGTCAGAGCGTTGAAGTACTCATTAAGAGTGACAACTCAATAAGAGTTGTTCCCGCGGTTTTCTTTCCGATAAACTTGCCTCAGACCGGAACGACAACAATTTTAAAACATCATTTTTTTTCGGAAAGACTTTATTGGTATCTTAACAGCTTAAAATGCGAGAAATTAATCCGGAATACTAAAAGTGAGGCTGAAACCTTTGATTTGCATCTTAAAGCAAGGGGACCAAAGAGCCTTTCGCTTTTTATTCTGTCCTTGCCTTCACCCACCCCACCCCCTCTATCCCCTCTCCGTTTCCCTGCCAAACTGCGCCTTTTATTTACTGAACATGGTCGCATAACAAGATTTTTATGCTACAGGAACTCCACATTATGGACGCCCCTGGACTGTGCAGCAGCTAAGGGTCACTTAAAAGTAGCAAACATCCTGTTGGACTTTGACTCACCTGTCGATCCTATTGATAAGACTAAGGTAAAGTAGCAAACATCCTGTTGGACTTTGACTCACTTGTCGATCCTATTGATAAGACTAAGGTGAAAGAGAATGTTATAAATATAAAAACATTCTTTATAAACATTATAATTCTGTTGGTAAAACTTGAGGGAAGTTTAGTTTCTAATTCAACAGATTGTTGATGTATTACACAGATTAAGTATAAGTCTTGATTGTTGAACAAACTCTCCTTGTCAGCAGCTTAGGAAATGTAAACAGGAAAGTGACTGGAGGAGAAAAGTGAAGAAAACTGTTTGGAGAGCAGTATAGAGAATGCTCTTTCTGATTTTAGGCTGTAAACGGTTGAACCAATCAAAATAATTATGGTTTTCTTACAGAAAACAGAGACCTTATTGTAACGAGACTTAGACTTTCAGCACTCCTTGAGTAAGAAATGACCACCTAAGAATCTCTCTTTACCGTGTTAAAACAGGGCTGTGATCAAGCAGCAGCCGTGGCCCCAGGCACCTTACTTTTGCTCTTAAGCAACTCAGGAATCTTAGGTTTTTTTTTTTTCATGAAAAGCATATGCTGGGCACCCTGGATTTCACAGTTTCAGAGCACTGGGCTCCCTTCAATTTTTCTCAGAGCACAGCCTTGTATAAGTTTACTCATTATGTGACTCTTCTTTCTTGTACAGACCACACCTTTACATTTAGCAGCAAAAGAGGGCCATGCCGATATGGTGACACTCCTGTTGTCCAAAGGTGCTGACATTACACTAACTGACTACAGTGGAAGAAACTGCCTTGACTTAGCAGCAGATCACAGCCGCAAGTGAGAATCGATGTTTCCTTCAAAAACTAAAAATCTAAGTGCATGCGGAATTCATGGCTAATGTTGGGAATGCTGTGCTTCTTTATTTTTGGTAATGCAAATGTACTTGTTTCCGTGTGTTCTACAGGGAAACAGCCATGGCCATTGTCAACGATGAAAACTGGATCTCTGTTTTGAAGAACAAATCATGGGAACAGAATCGCGTCACGACTCCATTGAGAAAACTGATCATCAAACTTCCTTGTATGTTGACTCTTAAATTTGTATTAATCTCAGCACTTGAGCGACTGCGCACCTACCTTTCCTGACCCAACATTAACCCTAACTTGTTATCAGTTGACTGTTTTTGGTTTAGGGGACGGGTAGGTGTGCAGTTGTTCAGTTACTAACTTTTATCCAACATCTCTAAGCAGGGCGTAAACAATTAACGAATCAAGGGACTTTCAAAAGTCTTGAATTCTCATTCTTTGAGTTCGGTTCGGTTTGGGATTTTCAAACCTCTCTGAACACCCGGAGGGGCTCTTAGGTCATGAAGCGGATGGGATGTGCGACTTAATTGCAGTGTTAGGTTAATCATGACATATGTGATTTGGTAATTCTAGACTTGCAGTTAGTCTCTGACCATAAGCCCCAAATTTCTTTGCAATTTGTTGATTTGTCTTTTATTGTGAGTTAAAAAAGTGATGAAACCTAGAAAAAGTTCTTCTGAAATTTACCTTTCTACTCTCAGCTGTGGCAGAAGCAGTCTTCAACCGTTGTGTCAAAGAAAGTGGCCACCATGTCGAAGACAAAAAGTATGAGGTAACATTTTACTATGAGTTCTTGGAAGATATTTACGTTGACTGGTCAGATGGAGGCGATGCAGGTTCGGAGACGTCCAGTTTAGCGAGCTTCTCAATGGAAGACGTCACAGGGGATGAAGAGTTTAGGAAGATTCAAGGGTCAGCTGGAGTGGCTGAGGCTGTGACTCAGTTGGAGAAGAAGGAGAGTCATCCTCTAATGATCATGGTAAAATGCGTCTTGCTGTGTTGTTTGAAATAAATTATTGGCCTTCCTTTAGTAATTGTGATTAAAGCTTGCTGGATGTAAGACATCGACGTGGTTGGTGAGCAGCGAGCATTTGGCAGAAAGGGAGGTTCAATAATAGGGATAGAGGAAGGATAGCAAGAAAGGAGTGAGTTGGAGAGGAAGGGACTGGGATTCATCCAGGAGGGGGAGGAAGAGTGGCCAACGAGAAAGAATATTTGTCCCCCTAGCGGCAATATTTATAATGACTCGTTGAGCTTAAGATTTAGCTTTTTTGTTGAGTGCATGGAACAGTGAAAAAGAAATGGTGGGGTTTAAAGGGAGGAAGGATTGATGCAAAGATGCAATCATTCCTCATCCCTTAAGGAATGGAGGGAAGAAAGGAAAGATACATTAGTGGACGGGATTGATGAATGGATGGATAGATGGAGGGAGAAAGGAAGAAAACGAGCAAATATAAGAGATGCAGGGAGATTGAGAAAGAAGGAAGGAGGGATGGGGAGGAAGGAGGAAAGAGAACGGTTTTTTTCGTTTTTGTTTATTTTCCTTTTGATCAATTTGATGACGTTAAATTGTTAATTTCAGGTGAAGAATAAGCGTGAACAGTTGCTAGGCCATCCTCTTGTCACGTTTCTGTTGGATTACAAATGGAAGATATTTGGCAGGTACATTTATTACTTCAAGCTGGCCCTCTATTGCTTGTTCTTGTTGTTCTTGACTGGTTATACTGTTTACTCGACTGAGCATGGCCCAGTTTGTCTCAATGAAACAGTGGTTGACAAAGGAACTGCGGACGAGAGCTCTGTTGCCTACATCTTGTGGATAAGCGTCGGGCGTATTGTGATACTGGCGCTAGCATCAGCACATATTCTTTCCGAGGTAGGATACTTGTTACTGATTGTTCTAAGCATTATTGGTAGGGTTTGACAAATGTATTTTAAAGTAAGTAATTTGATGAATAGAATAGAAATTTGAGATTTTTTCCTCCTCTCCCGTTCGCCTCTAGTTGTAATTTTGAGATCCTTCTTGCGTCAATGTGTGTCCAATTGTCCAGCTAAAATTCCTTTTGTTTTTGATAAGTGGCATATTCCGTGCATGGAAGTTAAGAAAGCTAGGATTTTTTTTATTTAGTCTCAAAGCACAACGACTTATGAAGTGAAGTGAGTCTTCTAAAATTTGTAGACAAACGTAACTTTTAAGTAAATGACCAATCATTATTTATAGCCGGACGGGGGGCGAGGGGGTTAGTTTTGTCATGATGATATTTAGCTGATCCCCCCATAAGCTTCTGTAGTATTCTTATGATGCTCCTCTTTAGCAGTTAATGACAGTCAATTTTTAACAGTCCTCCCTTTATACTCTGTTGGCGAAGACTGACTCCCCCTGAAAACCATGCGAGGCCCCAAAATCCTCCGCGTCCCCCCCTTTCAAGAGATAGATTATGACTTGTCTCTCAACTATCGAAAATGGGCCAGCCATGTGAATCTTTTGTTTTGTTGTTGTTGTTGTTTTAGTTTTTCTTGTATTGCTCTCTCTTTTAATTCGATATTCGTGGCTATTGCAGTTGTTCCAACTAGTGTATCAGCGCAGACAATATTTCTCATGGGAGAATCTTGTGGAGTGGGGTGTGTATGTACTCGCCATTGTTTACGTGGCCGATGAGTTTGAAGTGGAAGTGGTCAATAGGTACGTGTCAGAGAGAATCCTAGGGGTTTTTTGAAGTTCACAGCATCACTTCTTTATGTCGTCTACACTTTAAAACCCTGTTGTATTTTGTTCGTGAGCACGTTTTGATCTAGCGTTGTAAAATTGTAACTCAAGTGTTTTAGGAAGTCTACATGTTTAATGGTCACCCCATTTTCCTCCTCCCCCCCTCAATTTTTGACTCCACATGCTGAATACTCACCCCCCCACATTTACACACACTTCCCCTCCCCTCTTAATTCTTGACTGAACGAGCTTAAAACTAGCCAGATTCTTTGATTCACTTTGCAGTTGTTCGACGGCGAAAAAAACCATCGGAGCCTTATCAATCTTTTTAGCTTGGATGGCTTTGGTGTTATTCATCAGAAAGTTTCCAAAGCTTGGTATTTACGTGGTGATGTTTACAAGCATTCTCTACACGTTCACGAAATTCTTCATGATTTATGTGCTGTTCCTCGTTGCCTTTGCGCTTTCGTTTTTCACGCTGTTCCATGATCCTAAGGTGAGCTGGATCACTTTCTCTGCTTCCAAATATAGACGGATACATACCTTAGGCGTTGGAGTGTGTTATTTTACAGTGACAACTTAAATTTTTCAAAACAGTTGTTGAAATTTTAGCACGCTCATTAATGTCTCAAACAATTTTTCAATAGGCGATTTTCGGAAGGTTCTGTCTTTGATGTACGGCTCCGTTCGATTTCGGACGGTTAAATCCTATTTTGGACGGTACGTACTTTTTTCGAACGGTTTCGGACGGTTTGCAGCGCTGAGTGAAACTGCGCCGCTAGTTCTGCAATACCCAGGAGACCCAGTCTTTCATCCATGGACCTTAGGTGCTTCAAATCATAATATACGCTTATGAGGCGGGAAATGATGTCATTTTTATGGTCGACACTTTTGTTAATGATGAATTCGCAAGAATTTCTTCAGTTACTGTGAAGATAGGAAAAATATTCTTGTGCTTTATATAGTCAACCGGGAAGCCCTCGGCTACTCCCCACGGTCTGTTTACTCTATTGTTTTTATTTTTTATCAGGAATAATTTGGGTAAATAGCTGAGGTCTCACATCACACGTTACTAAAGTTCTAATTTAGGCTTTTATTTTCTTTCTCCTTCGTTATTTCGTATTTCGTTTATACTGAATTGCGGCAAGGCTCGAATATATATAGTGTTTCACTCTAGTTCCGTCAAAATTACCTAAGGTTGTAATATTGCAATGAAGGAGAATGCAACGATCTTTTAATTCTATAGGAATGGACAATTTAAGAAAATGCACTAGACATGTTTCCTGATATTTAGATTTTTATCGTGCAAATCTGTCTTTGAGAGGCTAAACTAAGAGGGATTATGTCTGGAATAAAACCCGTTTCTAAAGGAATTCGCGAGATCCCACCTCGCACAAGTAAAGCCACTTCGTAAAAAAGACCCTCTTCGTTCATCTTTCATAATCATCATCAATAAACTATTACAGTTACTCACACAAATTATCCCTCTCACAGCAAAGCATCCGTTCGTTTGGGGAGCCTAGCCGTGCTATCGTGAAGACAGCAGTGATGATGATTGGGGAGTTCGACTTCGACGACTTATTTAACTCGCCTGACTTGAACGTTCCTGGTGTTTCGTGGTTCATTTTTATTGTCTTTTTGATTATCATGACTCTCATCTTGATGAACTTGTTGGTGAGTTTCCTTGTTTTCAATCGCCTTTTCTCTGACTCGTTTCTGTGCTTGGGTATGCTTAACATGCCCTTTCTCCGTCAACATGAAACTAAATAACGTGCAAAACCTCTTTTACTTTCACCCATTACAGCCCGTGCAGCACACGTTCGATTTTACCAGGCCTGCACACGCGCGTTACGCGCGCGAGAGCAAGAGAAAGTTCTCTCGTGCGTGTGTGTTTCTCGCTTTCCTCTACTCGGCGTCCTTCACAGCGTTGGACATTTTAACTTGGAAAGGGCTTATTATATTCACGCAATGTATGATGCTCTTTCGACTGAATCAGCCTTCTGTAAAGCCTGAGTATCTGCGTTATACGTTAACGAAGGTATTCATCAGCTTTGAGTTTAATGTGACGTTTGTTCCAATAACTTCGCAATTTTGTCTTGCTGCGTAATGTGTAAGTAAATGATACCGTGTTGCCTTCAGTTTTTCCTTCAGTAAACAATTTTTAACCTTAGTAAAGCTCAATTTTGCACTGTAGATCTGACAAAACCATCCTAAATGAAATACTTGAAATTCATTTGTTTGGAGTAGGGGTCTGCTGACCACAGGGTAAAGATTTTAAAAACCTGCGTTTGGCCACGAAATGTCTGTTTTGTTAATTCTCTGTGTTTATTCCCTCTCAAGATTGGTTTGGCTGTGGACGACATCAAAGGTGTCCAGGAGCTGGCTGTACTCGAGCGACAAGCCATGTTGGTACGGAATTAGCCAATAGCTTTATGGAAACTCAACGTCCTACACGACTCCCCTAGTATTTTACCCAGACCCTTTCCTCTTCTCTTTTTCACGAAGATGATTTTGGGTCGATTTTAAGGAATGTTCCACCATGATTTCAATTACCTGTAGTTCTCTGTTTGGTGTTTGCATAGACGTTAATCTTCAAAAAACTGACTGATTGACTTACTGTCTGACCTTACTGACGGAAAAAACCAACTTATCATCGATTTACTGATTGACTGGCTCATTAACTTATTGAAAGACTGACTGGCTGACTGAAAGACCGACTGACTGACTGAATGACTGACTGACTAACTGATTGACTGTCTGAATGACTGACAGATTGACTTACTGACTGATTGACTGACTGCCTAACTGACTTACTGACTGATTGACTGACTGCCTAACTGACTTACTGACTCACTAATTGATTGACTGACCGACTGATTGACTCACTGACTCACTGACTGATTGACTGACTTAGTCACTGACTGACTAACTGATGGACCGATGATGACCGAATGATTGATTGTTTAATCGATTAATTGTATCTCACAGAGGTATGCAAAACGGGACAAGATCGAAGAATGAAGCTGGAAACCCGCCCATAGAGCGCCCTTTTAAAACAAATCTCACTTCCAATCCACGCAACTTTGTGTTACCTTACTCTCGGCTTTGATGCACTATGTAATAAAGATAATTTCTTTGGCTGACAGACTGTTCGTTTCTTTGTAACTAAAGGTTGATTTAGCTATGGATGTAGAGAAAGCTTTGCCCAGAGGACTTCGGAAACGGCTTGTACCAGAAAGACAAGTCGTTCGACCAAACCAGTATGAAGGCTTTAAATGGTACTGGTACAGTCCGCCCATCTCTGCACAGGAGGTCCAAGTAGCGTTGAAGCCGAACAAGGTACGTGCACGTTAATCCATTAGCAACAAGAAAGGATCAATTTGAGATACCTAATTCTGTTTATGGTCCCTATTTTTGTGGTTATTACTTCTCCTTTTTGGGAGATCTCCCTAAGGATCCTGAAATAACCAATCATGTGCTGCGAGCTGTTCTCGCTCAAACATCCTGTGGGGCGTAATTTTGCTCTCCACTGAAGCTTTGAAATAACGTGCACGACACATGTGAATGATTTAGGAGTGACAAGATAGCATGAGTATTGAAAGAACTTAAGAGGGATTAACTGTAGAATAAGGCCTACAGAGCGTGCTTTGATTAAGGCGACTGGTCAAGTCACCCGAGAGTTATCTCGCCAATAGTCATTTCGCCCGGAACTTGAGTCACGTCGCCCGAAAAAAAGTTAAGTCGCGTGAAGATTAACTATCGTGAAGTAAATAACATGGCAATCACAGCAGCCAATCAGAACATAGGAAAATATTCTATGTAGTCTACGAGAATACAAAATAAGCACGGGGTCACTGCCTGAAGCGCAGGTAAACGCCATTGATCAAGTCGCGATTTGTTTAGTTTTCTGGGTCAATCACAGATCGAAGATAAGCAGAACCAAAGCAATCCTACTCTACTTTTGACATTTAGTTGACATTCAAATTTTTCTTCGGGTAATTCACTCCCCAACATTGATTCTCCCTCGATGAGCGGCTAAATTCATCCTTTTTTGGTAATTATTTTGCATGGTAATTGTCTACGCACAAAAATGGGTGATTGACTGTAATAGTTGCAGTATTTAGGCTTTTTGTCATGATAACTGTCGTGCTGGCTGCTATCGCAAAAACGCTTTATGTTTTCTCTTCATTCTCTCTTCTCATATTTGAGGGTGTGAGTGAGTGTAGTCACCAAGAGGACTGTTGTTGATGAGTGACTGGTGTTTCTGCATCGAGGGAGGGTGATCATCACAGTCAAAGGCTGAGGAGAGCCATCAGTATGGGCGAGCGTCTTCCTTAAAAATAGAATGGAGAATTCAGAGTAGAAGTTTAGCTCTCTGCAAGGAGACTTGTACTCGCTATCTTAGGAATTTGGCCCTCAACTATAACTTCTGACTTTTGATTTTCGTTTGCTGTTTTTTTTTTGTTCTAGTCTTCCCTTGAAGTGTTGTCTGACCGAACGGATGAACTTCAAGAAACTGTGTCAGGAATGAAGAATCGCTTGAAAACAATGCAGTTTAACCAGGAGGAGATACACAAGATGCTGGTGGGTATCGTGAAGAAACTTGATGCCATTGTCGAAGGAGACGACGATGAAGACGATCAGCTGTTTTAGTCACGTGACTTGATGAAACTGCCGGTCGTTAGAATGGCAAATGTGCGGGCTCACCCGCGACCCGTCTGCAATTGCTGATCATTAGAAAAGTGACAATATTGTAACTTGAAGTAGTATTCTGACTAAATTTGAAATGGATTAGGATTGTATTTATCCGTGTATTAGCGTTGACGTCGTTACGCATCTTGCACGTAGTCTGAGCGGAGCGTTACAAACCGAATGTTAGTTTCAAGGGGGCTAGACGCACACGTATATGAAGAATTAGTTGAAAAAGTATTTTTGAAATTTTCACAGTTGTACTGATAATCGGCTACATCAGGAGCCTTGTCCACATTAAATTCTGAGAAATATTTACAGCCCTTGCATCAGGAGCCCTGAACTCTTACATCAGGAGCCCTGACTACTCTCAGTTCTAAGAAATATTTATAGCTATTTAGATACAACATATATCAGAAGGCCTGTCCACATTCAATTCTGAGAAATATTAATAGCTATAGCGGTACAAGATATATGGCTACCTTGCACTATAAAAGCTAGAATAATACTCTAGCGTGGGAAACAATCGATACATGGTACTTTTACAGCCGTTGATTGGTTAGTTTAGTTAGATATGTGTAGGCTATTTTATTGAAAAAAATAGATGTTTGATGAAATGGGAGTCTAGCATGTCAAACAATCGATATATGGTACTTTAACAGCCGTTGATTGGTTAGTTTAGTTAGTTATGTATAGGCTATTTTAAAAAAAATAGCTATTTGATGAAATGAGAGAGACCCAAATTATTGAAAGGCTTACTGGGAAATTGAAGAATTCATAGAATCAAGCAAAATATTTATGATACACGGGAGAAACATTTACGAACCTCCGTCTTCCAAACAGTAGTATTTATGCTTAAATAAGCACTGAAACTTCAGATACAAACACAGCAACATACATGACGATATATTAGCTCTGAAGTAGAGTTTAATGTGTGATAACTTGTGTCTTTAATAATGAATTAGGTCCACTTCTTGAAAAGAATCTTTCGTTAAAAAGTTTAAAGATTAAAATGGTCAGGGATGGGACTGACGTTATAGTACCTCACTGAAGCGGCACTTGTCTCAAAGAATAAAACATGAAAGGAAGTTTTATCTGTGATTGTTTCTGTTTAGTTCTTCAAAATGCCTCCATCTACTAGACGCTTGGTTATGGCAGTGAAAGTAGCTTCTACATATGCTATAAACCGATTGCTCTTTTGAACAGAATATATCCTTCGAAGAGATAACGGAGTAATTGGTTTTTTTTTTTTTTTTTCAGTCTTTCGCTCTGATATCAGCTTTAGAAACTCTTTACGATGGCTAGCTCAACTCAACTCAGTTGATAAAACCAACTTATTTTGTAATACCTCCTGCCGGCGCAACCTCACAGTTTCTTTAAAAACTTACCCTCTTAACTTTTAACGAGATACAATGAATATATGAAGTTCATATATTTTTTTTTTTTTTTTTTTTTTTTTTTCGAATTGCGGTATTAGATACGTATGATGGACGATCCTCGCAGTGGATAGCGCTATTTAGGCAATAGCGAAAATCAGACCTGAAAAAAAAACAGGCCTATACGGGATTCGAACCACTGACCTCTGCGATACTAGTGCAGCGCTCTACCAATTGAGCTAACAAGCCAACTGAGAGCAGGCCGTTAAGATGATTCGTAATAAACCCGTGAAAGTAATAAATGAGATACAATGAATATATGAAGTTCATATATTTTTGAACTGCGGTATTAGATACGTATGATGGACGATCCTCGCAGTGGATAGCGCTATTTAGGCAATAGCGAAAATCAGACCTGAAAAAAATCAGGCCTGTACGGGTTTATTACGAATCAACTTAACGGCCTGCTCTCAGTTGGCTTGTTAGCTCAATTGGTAGAGCGCTGCACTAGTATCGCAGAGGTCAGTGGTTCGAATCCAGTACAGGCCTGATTTTTTTTCAGGTCTGATTTTCGCTATTGCCTAAATAGCGCTATCCACTGCGAGGATCGTCCATCATACTTAACTTTTAACATTTGTCATTTGTGCCTAAGGCGCCGTAATGTGCCGCATGGGTCGGAGTGTCCCGTTCGTGCCCATCCCATTTGGGCTTTAATTCTTTATGTTTGTATATTTTCATTTTTTTTATCTTGCCCAATAAAGCTCGGCATACTCACATATATACATACACGCATAATACGTACTAAAAGTTTTCGTAGCTTTACTTTGGAGTTCTTTCAGAGTTCTGGAGTCCATTCAGTTTAGAGCTTCTCTATACTCCACGGGGAAGAAGGATAAGATACGTTATGATAAATTAAAAAAAAAAAATACAGATAGAGTTTCACTTAGCAAAAAGGTTTATTCAGTTAAGCTTTCAGCATCAAACTTGAGATTTTCCTCGTAGTCAACAAGACTAAGCAAAGAGTTTAGGACAAGGCTCTTTTTTCGTCCAAATCCTGATTAGGAATAGTCCTAACATTCAAGCAGTCGGATTCTGATCTTCTAGGTGATCGAACCGAGGACTTGCCGGAAATAAACTTTCGGAGGAATGTTATTCCGCCTCCCTTCTCAAAACTAGATGCCGGCTTTTCATCGATAACCTCATATGCCGTGTCAAGAAGTACAATTCTTGGCTTTAGGGGCTTGGGTCGAACAAATCGTCGCTCGTACGAACAAGGAAGAGTAAACACAATGTCTGTCTGAGACCTGGGGGCTAGATCAGCCGAAGTTATCTCCTCTGACTCGAAGTCAGGCTCATTATCCATATACTCGCGTATAAACTTAAGTTTGGAGGCACTGCTTAGGCTACTGCGCATGTCTGTTTCCATCCTTGATTCCCCCTCTACAGGTCTAGGAGTTGAACTACGCGGATTGTTTCTGAAAGCAGGCCCCTTATATACATCCGTAGGCATTTCACTTAGCACCGGTTGCGCCCACTTGCAATTACCACCTGTAGGAACACAGCTAACATCCTGCGCTGCTGGAATCTTGGATTTCTGAACCACGGTTCGCACGTTCGGTGCGAGCGCCATATGCCTACAAAATAGATTTTCCCGTTTGATTTTCTGCAAGCTCTCTCCAAACTCGTCGTCGTCGTCTTCGGTCTTTTCGTCGTTCCTGCTTTCTTGGATTACTTGTTTTGCAGCTCTAATTGCTTCAAATCTGTGCGCAGCCTTTTTGACTTCAAGAACCCGCTTGCATTTTTCACAAGAATTGCCACTGCAGTTGTGCCTTTGGTCCAGTGCTCTCCAGTGAAGAGATTTCAATGGCCGGCTATCTTCCCCCTGAGTTACCTCAATGCTGACCTCATCACTGCCAGTTTCCAACTGTTCTTTTTCCAGAAATTCTCTATCCTTTACCTCCTTTACACATACTACTTGGTTATCAGGCCTGTACAAATCGTGCGCGAGCGATCGTGAAGGTCGGTGCTTTGATATTTCGGAGCACCTCCTCTGCATATTGGCAAAATGAAGTGATTTTAGTTGTGATCCGTTTTCCGGCTCCTCTTTCACTTTGAAAACTTCGGGCAAACCAGGATCAAGAACTACATCTATAGCTTCCTGTTGGGCTCGAATGAAACTCCTCGATCGGCGCACTTTCCTTTTGTTTGCTCCGATAATTCTTCGTAACATTGAATTTTCTTCTCGATCCTGTGTTATTAGACTTGGAAAGGCACTTGCTCCCTCGGAGCATTGATCACCCTCCTCGAGCATCTTTGAAAAAAAAAATATGTATATATGTTTACGATACGTTTACTATGTCAGTAAACGATTGAAGTTGACACAGCCTGACACAATCAATTAATTATCGTCATAAAATGAAATCGCGCGCGCACTCCTCAGGCATTCTTTGCTCACTCTCTTGCCTTAATCTCTTGAGAACTTTCTTAATTGTTTATTTGTCTGTTTATCTGTGGATTTTTTCAATTTCTGAATTGTATCCACTTCAGTTCATAGCTTCCAATTTTCGCCTGTACTTCTCGTAGCTGTTCACGGTCAGTTCGCCACCACAACAAACTCGCCACCACTGAGAGTCAAATTTGACTCAGGCGTTATGCGTATCCTCTCGTATGAAACTTACATCAAATGAAAGCTAAGTTGTAGTACGGTTTATTGCGAAATTGAGTGTGTTACGATATGTAAATGCTGCTCGAAGGCGTAGGTGTTAACTCCCGCAGGTCATGCATAAGCTCGGGATATGTTAATTAGTTGATCGTGTATTTAAAAGGAACTCGGTATTTGCATGTTACTTTTTTCCTTCAAATAAGGCGAAAGGAACTCAAACTTTATGTGAATCGTCTCAATTATGGAACTTTAACCGTTAAATCGAATAAAACGTGTTGATATCACGAAGATTGATTAGACTACGTACCATTCGACTCTCAGTGGAGGCGAGTTTGTTGTATACCTTCGGATACCCTCGTGGCATATCTTCTGGAAGTAAGAGTTGCGAATAAAGGGGGTAAGTTTCTAAAGAAACTGTGGTGCTGCGTCGGTGGGGGTAACAAGGTACTAGTTTGGTAATATCAACTAAGTTGAAATTGTAAATTGGCTACCGTGCGAGAAGAGTTAAAAAGCTGACGTTTCGAGCGTTAGCCCTTCGTCAGAGTGAATGCTCTGACAAAGGGCTAACGCTCGAAACGTCAGCTTTTTAACTCTTCACGCACGGTGACCAATTTACAATTTCACTCGTTGATATTACCAAATTAAGACCCCGGGGGATAAGACTTGCGAAACTTGATTTCACTTGCACTGTAAATGTACTTTTCCTTGATAGATGACGTGAAGATACGAAATTTACTTATACACATTATGGTTTTATCCTTTATTTCGTCTTCTTCATTAAGTTCTTCTTTTCTTTTCGTTTCCTTATCAGTTTGTGCGACATGCTTGTGTTGCGTGACCCTTGTAGATTAGTGCCGCTTTCGTGCCGCACTCCGTGTTAGACTGGGTCGAGTATGTACAGTTGTACGCTGACTTGTTCCTTACAGTGTTCGACACGTAGGCAAAGGCGGAACAACAGAGCACATACAAACAAGCATCCACCGGTGCTTGAAAGGAGATGAAAACTTGTCCGTAATATACCTGTCTTGTTCTAAAAATTGTGTATTTTTGCTACAATATGGAGGCAAGATATAATCTTAGAAGCCCAGGTAACGATTGCTTTTGTGCGGTTCAGTTTGATTGCATTTAAATTTTGACAACATTCTTCCAAACAGATTTCGATTCGTCGTCGTAGTCAGGTTTTTCAAGAATTTGGTTTGATGTTCTTGTCGTGATTATCTTGTTGTGGTTTTCTTACTGTAATTTCTAGGTGTCAAGCGCTTGATGAGAGAAGCAAAAGAGCTGAGTCAACCAACAGAGCTGTATTTTGCGCAACCACTCGAGGTAAACAATGAATTTGTATCGAAATTCATCGCAAACCTGGAAGGAATTGGAACACTCATAATTAGCTATGTTAAAATGCAGTACGAAGTAGTGTAATCCGAGCTTGTTTACAGATGCAAGCATGCTAACGTGACATGAGGTGCTAGGTCTTGAACCAGCCTCTAGCATAGAAGGATAATTACACATGTACCTGAGTTTCATCGGAGGCTGACAGCCGTTGCCAGTGGTTGTTTTGGTAATCATGGTTGTTGATAGCAAGGAGTCACCAGTTTAATCTTTTAACTCCCAAGATCTGATTGTCAATTCTCACCTCTAGCTGCTACACATTTCCTTGTAAATGAGCTACAAGAATTTCGGTGTTATATCAAGATAACAATTTTTTCCTGATAAGTTTGAGTAGTCTCCTTACCTGGTTACTGGGTATTGTATGGATATTATTGGGAGAAGTTACAAGTTGATTGCTTCTGGAAGGTAAAAGGTTAAAATGTTACCACTGTTTGATGCTGTGACAAGAAACCAACTTTGATTAAATGAGAAATGTCGTGGGCAAAAGTACATAAACTGAATTTATTATGAAACTGGAGAATGCCTGACCACTTATTTACAGTCCAGTGAAAATGAATACTATCTCATTTGTTGTTTACCTCGTTCTTTAAAGCTTATGGAAGCATGTAAATTCGAGAAAATTGTGATGTTGTATGGTGGATGGCATAGTCCTGTTCAGCTCTGAATGTTAAACATTTGCTCCCCAGACCAAATTAATGCTATTTCAATTCAGTAAGTGGTGTTGACTATGATGGTGTTTAACCTACTAATGGAAGTCAAGATCTTTACTGTAAGATCCAAACAAAGTTTTTCTCTCCTAGGGCTCAACACTAACTTTTCAACTTACTAGCCAAGTGGCCAGTGACATCTTAGATGTTACAACAATTTCGGTTTGTTTACTAGCCAAAGTGGCTGGTGGAAATCAAAAACCACAAGCCAAAACTGATTTTGTACTGGTCTGTGGCTAGTTGGCTACCATTAATGTTGAGCCCTGCTCTCTGATTTATGGCCCAAGCACAAAGCATGCAGGCTATGAATCCAAGCTGGAAAAAAAAGGTTCCATAACTTACAGCAGGTCTATGAAAACAAGGTTAGCAAGATGTTTATTATATCTCTGGCTTCAAATCGATGGGGAAGATTGCAATGCAACAAACATTTGAATTCAGTGGGCAGTAGAGTGAAATACAGCCTGCTAGATTGTCACTTGTAGTGCACTAACTGAGAAATATATAATGATCACTTGTACTTGTATTATAGTTTAGTTGGAGTCATAACCAGAGGTTGTCTCTTTGCAGGATAATTTGTTTGAATGGCACTTTACAGTACGTGGCCCCCCTGACAGTGACTTTGCTGGGGGACGATATCATGGTCGTATAACTCTGCCACCAGAGTATCCAATGAAACCACCAAGTATAATGTTATTGACAGTAAGTAAATAAATAATTTAGTGATGGACATTCCACTGGGTGGCTCTTCTTGTCCACTGTTTCCAGATTGAATTGGAATTTGGAATGTTGGTTTTTGTATTTTAGGAAAAGGTCAGCATTTAAATTCAAAATGAGGTTATCTGAATGTCTTTAAATTTAGTGTTTTATAACCAAAATCAAAAACAGAGTAATCATAACAGCAGTCTGAGAAAAGGAAACAACACAAAGAGGCAATTGCAACTTTGAAATTAATTTTTCTTCTAATTGGGCAGGAGGGTGCTGTAAGTCTTTCCTTTTTCACAAATCCTTTTGAAGCAAAATGGAGCAGTCCCTGAATTCCCTGTGAAGGCAATATCTTCTTGCCCATTCTTATGACTGAAATATTTTTCTGAGGGTAATTTTTTGTAAACATAATGGCTGGGAATCAAACTGTTAATGTAATATTCTGCCTATGTCCACCAGCCAAATGGTCGATTTGAAGTGGGAAAGAAAATTTGCCTCAGTATGTCCGCCCATCATCCTGAAACTTGGCAGCCATCATGGAGCAGTGAGTACTGCTGTTGATCTTGTTCAGGATTTTGCAAACCTACCTGTATTTGTTGTTAAAAACTTTTCAATAAAAAAAAATTGTTAATAGTTATTATGTGAGAAAAGTAAAGTGAAGCCAGTCACCAAGCCTAGTTGCCTGCCTGGCAGGACCTTATGCCACTTTCTTTCTTTCTCTTTTTTTACCCATTAACTCCCAGAAGTGATTAACATGTAACTTCTCCCTATGATATTCATGCATTATCCAGCAATCAAGTAATCACAGAGTTGTTATCTCTATCTAACACCAAATTCTCCCAATTAATTTAGAGGGGAATGTATAGCAGCCAGAGGGGAGAATTAACAGTCAGATCTTAGTAGTTAAAGGGTTAACAGCTCTGTTGGGCATTACTCATAAAGCTCACAGACCCAATAGGATTGGTGCAAACAGATGAGGTAGCATCATCAACCCCTTGATCTCTAAGAGTTACTAGCATCTAATTTCTCCTTACAATTAACACCCCTGATTCACCCATTAAGGTTGCAAGAATAGAGGAAATGATTACCAACTAAAGAAGCTCTTGATTGTTAAACGAGTTATTCGTGTCAGCCGCGCCTAAGGAAATGTATAGAGAACACTATGGAGAATAGTTATGCATACTGTTGTCAGGGTGTAAAGGGTTCCAACATGACATTTGGTTTTTTCAATAGTTCGCACTGTGCTCATGGCACTCATTGGATTTATGCCAACACAAGGAGCAGGAGCAATAGGATCACTAGACTATACTCCACAGGAAAGGAAGGTTCTGGCTAAAAAGTGAGTGAGATTCATGGTACTTTTTTGTTGTTATCAATGAGAAGGGTGTTGTGCAGTGAAACCTCAAGTAGGCAAATGCCTTCCCTCATGTCTGCTTGGTAGAGGGTTCATTCTGAATAAGGAGGATTTGTGATAAGGAATAATTATGTTGATAAATGTATTTAGAAAAATATATCTCCTATAGCAGTTTGGTATTCCTACAGAGTGACTTTTTCTTTTGAAATTGTCTCCAAATGTGATGGAAATTTTACTTTTAATGCCTTTGTTGTAAAAACGACTCAGCTACCTAACTGGTCAAGCAGTAACAGAATGCACTCATTGCCACTATTGTGTAACATTTTTTGATGGGGAAGACAACATTAAATGGTATCTGGAGTATATAATAACTATACAGCGCATCAGTACTTTTCTTTTGAAAGTAGTCCACAAGAAGGTTCTTCCATTTTATGAATTTGTGAGCCAGATATTCAAGCAAAACAAATACCTCAGTTTAAACTTTTCCATAAACCAGATGGAACAAGTGTGAGTGTTACTGACTACTAGCATTGACCACTTTCAAAAATGGCTGCCAGATTGATATTCTTTTGTTTAAATTTAAATTAGCCTTTCTGGCCTCATTCTCCAGTTCAAAATTCAAAAGAATGCATTATCTCAAGCAAGGCTAGTAGGGCTAATTTGAATTTAAACAAAAGAATATGAATCCGGCAGCCATTTATGAAAGTGGTGTATAAAAGAGATTTACCATTCATGTCAGTAGAGAAGGCAAAGATTGCCTTTTTGGAACTCTTTTTGAATGGTTTTTGTTTCATTTGTACTTGTCATATTTAGATCACTTGACTGGAAATGTAATTCTTGTGAAGGTTGTATGAAGACTGCTCTCTTAGAAACCTCTGGTAAGTGTGCTTTCATTCATCAACTAAATGTTGTTTGTTTGTTTTTCAATAGTGTTTCCCTATTCAAGCCACTGTAGTCCTACGTGCATTGGATATACTTACCATAACTAGATCAGCTGGTTATTTTCCCAGCCAGTGTATTAACTCCCAGAATTGATGAAAACATTACCAGTCTTCCTATTATGTCCATCCATACATTATCCCGCTAACATATAATGAGAATACTCAAACTTATGTGGCAGAAGGTGTTATCTTGATCTAAGACCAAATTCTCATAACTTAGTTACAAGGAAACGTCTAGCAACTAGAGAGTAGAATTAACAACCAGATGTAGGGAATTAAAAGCTGGTTAAGATTTACCAGTTCTTAACCTGCTTGTGAAACAAATGAACATGACATACAATCAGAGAATAAAAGTCATTTGCTCTGATCACTAAGTTGTTGTTTTAATCGTCAAACTACATGTCAAGATCATTGATGATTAATCACAGAGTATAAGATATTGTTCAATTTATAATTATAGTATTACAGTGTCACGCAGTATTCAAGTATTGGCACTATCACGATATCATGACTTTGTTGTTAAGTTTGTTCTTGACAAGCAAGTTGTATTTGAATTATACATTTTAGGTGATTCATCTAAGGAAGCAGATGAGGAAGCTGCAGAATTAGCTGCACAAATCACATTTAAGGTGAGTCAAGAGAGAAAAAAGTTGGGGTTGTAGTAAAGGTGAATTCTCAAGAAAAGAATGACTTGCATAGCTGCTTGAGCATATCCTGGTTTTCTTGGTTTTGTAAGTAACTAGGAGTCTCTCCAATATTCTTCCGGATGAGATACCATTTGGCAGCAGGTTACCCCTCTTCATTACATCAGGTTTCCCAGACAGGCTGCTCTAGCCCATTCATACCACTTTCACTCCAAGTGGGGACCAAGAAGAAGGTACATGTACCCCAAATTGTGATTTGTCTCATCCTTTAATTACATTTCAATGTCAACAACTTTCTCTTCAATGTCTAAGGGAGAGACTGAAAAGGAGAAAACCTCTCAAGGAAGCCCAGCAACACCAACCTCTAATGTAACAAGCCAACCACAGGCTGCCTCAACAACAGAATCTGTTGCTACTGGAAATTCTCAAATGGGAGCCTCTTCAATGGGTATGGCTCCACAGTACTATGCAGCATACCAGCAGGGGGGATACCCATATTATTCCACAGGTTACCCAATGTACAACATGATGAATACCAATCCTTTACCAGCCCAAGGATACCAACCATCAGCTATTTTGCCCAATCAGACGCGTGCTCATGTGACACCAACCAATCAGAATACAGGAGATAGAGGAACAGATGGCGGCCTGCGTCAAAGGACTGTAGTTAATCAGAGTGCTGCGTCACAAAATATGATGCAGCCTGTATCCCAGGCTAATTCTGTGGTTCAAAGACAACCCCGCATTACACAAAGCAGCATGGCTTCTTTAATTGTCCTGTGGATCTTGGCTGTGTCAATAGCTGCTCTGGTTTGCAGAAGAATCTTTATGATATCCCAGTGAATGATTTGGATTAGTAGAACATTGTTTGTATTGAATGTAAATGGAACCCATAAAATGCATGATCCATAATTGTGGGTATTTTGTCCCTAAAAATTTTTTAGGATGCTTTTTCAGCTTTAGGGACTAGGGGAAATTAATGCAGGGGGTAAGTTTCAAAGGGGAGGGGGCGGGGATTACAAAACGAGTTGGTTTTATGAACTGAGTTGTCAATGTGAATTGGCTACCGTAACGAATTTCTTTTCTAATATATTAAAGTTGAAGAAGGAATTTTTCCGAGAAAAAAGGACGGGTGTTTACGAGTCATTCAGTTTACAATAGATACACGTCATTAAAGGAAAGTGTTAAAAAGCGTTCAATTTTAGGCATTTTCAAAGACTTTGGAATCTTCCTTACCTTGATACCTCTATCCAATAAGAACACGTTTGGTAGCTGGCGACAACATATTCCAGTGCAAATTTGAAATAAAGCGTGATTCTACTTTTTGCTCCTTTGTGGTAAATATTTTTGCTGGTTTCAAGACGCCGTTGAAACAAAGCTGAACTTTGTCAGTGTAGATCTCTCCCTTGCGCAAAATGTTTGCTTCAACCCTCGACACCCTAACATCAGTATGCATATTCTCCATACTGTGCTTCATACATTTCCTTAGATGCTGACAAGGAGAATTTGTTTAACAATCAAGAGCTTCTTTAGTTGATGACCATTTTCTGTAATCTCACGACCTTAATGTTTGATTCAGGGATGATAATGTAAGGAAAAATTAGATGTTCAGTAGTCACTCGTTATTTAGGAGCTGGAGCTTAACTTGACTGGATAGTGGCGTTTTTTTTCTTCCTTTGGGTTTTTTTCTACATCGAGATCAAGCCCACAACAATGATGAGAAAGTGTTCAGCCATTTTGACCAAATAATTTTGGACAAAGAATGCTAGTGAAATTGCATAGACGCGTGTAGAGAAAAGCGAGCTTAGAAGATTCTCGTAGGAAGGACGCGGAGAATCTCAGAAGATCTAGGTCTACCGCACGCATCTGTCTAGTTAGGGAAAGGGCCACATTTTCTGTGCTGTATGTCAGTTAGGATTATCCAAGCTGTTACTTTTAATTAACATGGATTGAGAGAGAGGGAGAGAGATAAGATTGGCTCATTTCTTCCCTCTCGATTATGAAAGATAACTTTACAGTATCAAATACGATACCTAGCCATAACAACCTAGTCTGAAGTCATCTATTTTCTTGTTTTTCCCCTGTGAGTACAAAAGGCAAGCCCATATTCCTTGCTCGTGTGGCTTATGGGAACGCAGTATTCGCTTCATGAATTCCCTTGCTAACCCTTCTAAAACCATGTGGTAGGGCCTTGTTTTATCTTTGAAGTTCACAAAGTGTGATCTGTAACGCAAGAATTCATCATCACTTGTTCACCCGTGTGGTACATGAAGCCACGCACTTGTCAAATTGTCGTTAATCCTTGTTATCTAAATATCTGTTTTCTAAGCTAGTTATGATCCCTTACATCACAGAAATACAGGATTTACTTATCGACTTATGTTGCCAACAAATTAGTTTTTCGAAGACCAATCGGTCGTGGTAATTATAAGGTGATTTAATATACTACAGCTGTACGGGCTTGGAGGATCATTAGGTAGACTGACTTGAAATAAAATCAGTACTATTAGTAATGGCATTGTTTAGCACAACACATACGGAAACATTCGATTTGTATGATTGTTCACGGAGGGGTACGGAAAGTTACATTGTCTTCATTCATGGTAAAACGACAACTTTCGAACAATTAACAATGATCCCTTCGAGAAAGGATTAGCAAAGAGTTTTCATATTATTTCCTCTTCTTAAGAGCCCTGAGAGTCATCCCTATCAAACACTTCCTATTGCTTTAATACCTACAGAGCTACAAAATATCAAAGGCTATCTTGTTCAAGTGATTATGTTTCAAACTTCAACGCATGGTAAACTTTCATCCCGAGTCATTAGTAAGCATGTACTAGCATAAAATGCGATAAAAATCTGGAAGTTGTCATTGGCGTAGAAAAAATCAACGTAAACAGCGCTCGTGTATCAACAAAGGGCACGAAACGGGAGATGTTGGATAACGTTTGACTGAGCAGTTTGTCAACAACATGGACCAAAGCCGTGCTAGAAAGAACAAACGAGAACAGAGGCGCGTGAAAATATTGCGAAATGCCTTTACGGTTTTGAAGGAACTTCTTCCGAACAACAGCGACCTGAGGACAAAAATTGAAATTTTGACGAGCGCGTCAGAGTATATAGTGGTTTTAAACCAGAAGATCAGAAACTTGCAGAGTCTGTTGAAAGAAGAACCGACAGAGCATCCACGTTCAAGCTGCAGATATGCTCAGGTAAGTTTGATTAACTTGTAGAGCTTTCAAATAACAAAACCATTTGTAAAAGTTGGTTGGATTCCAAACAACATTTGACCACCTGCGCGATAAGGGAAAGTTTCCCGTTTGAACCACACCCATTTGTGCGCTAGACAGTTTTGCCTCAGAACTTGGCTGGATCATTTCTCGAACTTATGAAATACGCAATTCTCTCGGGGAAGCTCTAACCTATGGCCAAGTTTTAATTTGCTCTTAAATTTCTATTACACTTAGAGGGATTTATGATGGAAACTTTGCATCGCTCCTTGTATAATTTCTTTAAAGTACAGCGTAAGAAACTTCTTTACAGGGTTACGGCAAGATTTCTTAAGCGCGTGAGAGAAAAGCTAACGTGGGAGACTTTCACAGGCAGGGCGCCGGGAAACTCAAAAGAACAAAGTTTACCGCTGGTTCGCTCATCTGTCTCGTTCGGAAAGGTACCATCTTTGCCGCGTGCAATGTGTCAGGATAATCCGAACAGTTACTTCTAACTGGCGTTGAAAGAGGAAGAGATAAGATTGACTGATTGCTTTTTCTTTTAACACCGCTTATACGGTTATGAAAAGAGTACTTTATAATGTCAAATACACCCAGCAATCTTGATGCAATAAGTTATAAAGAGGAACTAACTTGTGCGCCCACACGGCACTAAGACATGCCAAAAATTTCGTATCAAAGTTTTCTGACTCTTAAATCCCTTACCAGGATCCTCATTTGCACGACCTGAAGGCAGAAGCACTCGAAATGTCGCGCGAAGAGTTTGCATGATTAACGAAGTTCGATTTTAAGCAAATGGACATGTCGCTAAGACCATAGTTAAGTAAGCCAGTGTTCTTCGCGCGAGCTAAAATCCGCAGTACGTATATATCACATACAGTGTTCTCGTTAGAACACTATTTCTTCGGAATACAAAAATCGTTTGTAACGAATGAAGACCTAAGCAAGTTTGCATTCCGAGGTAAACTATTTCATATTTAAACTTATCAGGATCGTTCCAAATTGTAAACTTTACAAGAAATCTCTTTTAAAGGGAAGAACGTCGCTGATCTATCTTGCATGGTTGGTTCCGTGAGCTGACTGCGCCACGCCAAAACAATCCTGGCATTCGTTGAAACTAAAGCAAGTATACGTTGAAAAAAAAAGAAAGAAAATTGTAATTGCGTCAGATGAAAGGCAGACCATTGTCGTACTCACTCTGCCAATGATCTTTTCAGCGATGGGTCATTTCTTGAATATTGAACGAATTCCTACCTCTAGCGGATACATATCTGTGTAATAATTTGTTTACAGAACTTGGTGTTGTATCAAAATTGCGTCCATCAGATGATAATTCTGTCTATTCTCGGAAATCTTTTAGGGATAATGTAACAAAAATTACGAGGAGAGATAATTGTTAAACACGTCTTAGAGTTAGAGGTTAACACAGGTACTTACCACAGTCGTTGATGTTTCAATTCTTCTCCCGGAGATCTGATAAGCGGATTATAGTTACCGCAAACAAGACTGCGGATTAAGATATATAAATTACCAACTGTCATGCTGTAATTAGGGATGGAACATAGTGAATCCCAGAGGCTCTGTTTACAAATGATTGATTAAATATTTGCTATTTTGCTCTAATATTTCGAGCCCTCTTTTTATCAGGTAGCACCAGACCTAAGATATGAACCTCTCGACAGGTCGAATCTATGTAGTCATGTGTTCAATTTGTTCAGGACCGGGAAAGATAACGGATGACGTCAAAAGGTGGTGAGAACCAAAGAGCAAAGAGTGGTCAGGAGTGGCACACAAGATACAGCCGAGTTTGATGTTCTTACCACATTTTCACGTCTTCTGTGGTCTTTTATTGAAAAGATGAACAGAAAAATTGGAAAACTTTTGTTTGTACAATAAAGAGGCAAATGTTCGTCAGGTTCGTGATCTCAACGTCAGCTATTCGTTTGTCCTATCATAGATAACATGTAAGAACCGATCAAAATGTGTGTATAGTGCAGCTTATTACGACTACTGCTTTCTATGGAGGCGAAGCCATAATGCTGTCCTGTTAAGTGAGTAAGTAAGTGTGGCAATAGAATACGAACGACTTCTTAGCCTGCAACAAAGTGTGCCAAGTTTTACTCGATACTCCTCGCTCTTGGCTTTTTTACGTTTCGGAACATCCACAGTAGTTCAACTCTTGGTGAGGATTTTTTTCAAATCGGACACTAGTGGCCAATTTTGGATTTTGGACACTATAGTGGCCAATCATTTCGGATTTTGGATCCTAGTGGTTGATTTAGGATTTTGGATTTTGGACGCAAGTGGCCGAGTTTGGATTTTGGACACTGGTGGCAGATCCTGGGTTTTGGACTCTAGTAGCCGATTTGCGATTTTGGACACTGGTGGTCGGTTTTGGATATTGGACACTAGTGACCGATTTTTGGCTTTTTAGGTAATGGCTTAGAATAGAGTATGAACGACCGCCTAATCCACATCGCAGTCTGCCAAGTTTTACTTGATATTCCTTGTTTCTTGCGTTTGTTTGTTTCGGAATATCTTCGAATGTCAACGGTTGGAGACAATTTCTTCGGATCGCTTCGAATGTCACTCGGAATTAGCACATGATCACATGATCACATGATCACACTATTTCGCGGAGCTACTTGCCCTTGACTGTAGCGCCAAGCTAAGAAGAAACGCTCGTTAAAGAAATGAGTTACATTTGTTTTGAGTAATTGCTAATAGTTTGATGTCTTCACCCTCTTAAGGGGGTTAGCTCTTCTTTTAATGTGTTAAGTGTTATGAAATTTGAAGCCATCGTTCCACTTCCAAGAAGAAACGTTTATTATTTGCTGTCGGAGTTCTCGTTCTCTGTTCACGAAAGATTGGATGGTTTCACATTGTTTTTTTCGCAGAGGACACTAAGAAAATGTCCAAAGATTTAAGCATACTATTGCCAGCCGAGCTATCATTCCACTCGTGAAATCTTTTGTTTCGCCGCATTGTCGTTGTCGTCGCTGCCTTCTGGTTTGCGTAAGGTCTCTATTACTGTTAGGGAAAGCGGGAATGATGGTAGATCCAGTCATTCAATAAACCAGAGCAGATTTAAGTATTTCTATGATTCTAATTCATTTAGAGGCTGTAACTGAACCGTCTCCCCTCCGCTTTTCATCCTAATACACGAACAAAGGCAACAAGATACGATCAGCTTTCTCCAGCCAGTGAACTCTCAATGGACGCATGAATTAACAGCGAAAATTCTTTCTATTTCAGAGCGAACAAGAGGTCTCGTATTTACAAAGAAATCAAGACAGCTACACATTCTCGCAGGATCCTTTGGAATATGAAGGTATTTGAAAATTGTACATTATAATTAAATCGCTTAACTTTGAGTCGATAATCTCATCGTGTAAGTCATCTCTAATTTAAAAGGGTGTGTATTCTTGAACAAAGACCAAAGACGCGCCTAAACGGAGGAAGAATCGTATCTAATTCAACAACACAATTCGATCTAAAATACAAAAAAAACTACGTTGGCACTCAGCCTTACAATTATTCAAAACAAACAGAAATTTGACTTTAACAAAACCCGAAAACTAACTGCGAACCTACTTCTTGACTGCCTCCGTAATTGAGGTACATTGTGGCAAACGGACAGAAAAAACTTCATCAAACAACTGGTCAGTAAACATGACTGCGTACGCGCAACATTGAACGTAAAAAATGCGCGCGTTAAACTAAACAATAGATTATACTGTCGAATGTTTAGCGAAATAGGGTGCATAGGGAACTTAATAAAAATGCCAGAAAGGAAAAGCATCTATTTGTACATTCAGAGTAAACAATGAAGAGAAAACTTCACAAGGTGGAGCATAAGTTTAATTTGAACTTTTTTTCGCTCACACAGGTCGTTACGAATATCAATTTGTCTCTGAATACGAATGCGAATGCTTCACTGAAAGAGTGGATTGACAGTGTTACGGGAAAGCAGAGCGACAACTGCAAGCAGAAAACTTCATGGCAGTTAGTAGTGATAGCTCCTTCACGTAAGGGTGAAGGACTGAAATACTATGTAATTATAAATGCTGATTAAAAATATATTACCTGTAGGTACCCACCTCTTTCAATGTTGGGTAGCCCTAACGTGTTTAACTTGTTTCTTTTTCACGATTTTATTCGTGATTAATGTATGATACAATGTTGTGACGCAAACAACAAAGTTTTTAAACAGAAGCATGATACCTAGGAGTTCGAAATTTATGACTACGATGCTCATAAACGAATATACGTGTTGCAGTTTTGTTACCTGCACCAAAGGCCTCTCAAAAAAGCTCTCCATTGCTGTTAAGTCTTTGAGAGCATGATTTACTTCGGCGAAATACTTATCATGGTCAAGTGTATGTAATTAATCTCGAGACGATTCTCCTCACCATTTGCGTTTGTACAGAAAATACAACATTTTTGACAAAAGTGAGGTGGGTGTGTTTTGTCTACGTGTAGCTGCCTGCAGACTGCATGTATGTAGCAATTATTTAACATTATACTGTAAGAGAAAATAGCCCGCTGACCTACTTTTACGTGTCGTTGTACTTATGATGTTAACTCGACTTTAAATAGAAGCATTAGTCCTACACAGGGTCGCCTTCCGATCCCCTTCGATGGATTCCTAACGGCCGACGAAAGAGAGGCTTCTCCAAAGTAACTTGGAGGAAAACCGTAGAATCAGAAATGAAGGACAGAGCTTGGCTATGGGGGTTGCTTGACCGACTGGCAACCGACAGAAATCAATGGTGTTCTCTGGCCGAGACCTTATCTACATGGACGCACGAAGAGGCCGTAACTTACTAACCAAACAGAAGCACAGTTTGAACTTTGCAAGGCCCCTTTCCTTGCAACTCCGTTTAGCGTGCAAATAAAGGGTTGATCGAAAAAGCAATAATGGACAGGAAGAGTATATGAACTTGTTTTTCATAGACGAAGGATATGAAGGTTTTTAGTTTTTTTTCTTCTTTTTGACAGCCCCTCTTCAAATTGTCATCGCTTTTCCTCTTGCACTTTGACGTTTCGGTAATTAAGTTGCTTTTTTTTTGTNTAAATAATCTAAGCCAGTCCTGCAGTTAAGATCCTTTATCATTAAAACCTGCCTCGAACTATGCTCTTTGCTCGTCTACACAATCTCTTTTGTGTTCATTCCACGGGTCAACTGCTCCACACTTGGTGATCGCGCTTTCGCTCATACTATTTCTGTCTTAACGGAACTCAGCGCTACCGCTACCAATCAGATCCTGTAGCAGCCTAGCTACTTTTAAGAAACAAATCAAAACATTTCTTTTTAGGAAAGCGTTCAGTACTAGTTGATAATACTTAATCTAATGTTAAGCGCTTTTGAATTTTAAACAGTTTTTAGCGCTATATTAACTGTTTTTTTTTATAACGATTGATAGCAAAAGGAAAGGCACACTACGCACGCCAAATTTGAAACAAGAATAGTATCGACAAGCACAATTCGAATGGTATACTGTCAACTCTGACTCGAAGTACCCGGCTTGGTTAATTCGGTCAATCTGTTTTCATCTCCCTTGATGCGCCGAGGGCACAATGAAAGTAGAATCTGCTCATAGCCTCGGCGGTAATTTCCATTGCTCAGCCCGTAGATAAACTGGTTCAAAAAGCTGTTGATAAACGCTGAGAGGGATCTTCAGACAAACTGGCCCCAAATAAGAAAACACTTATGTTACGTTGGACAACTATATTTTTATGCACATAGAGTAACAATTTCTCGAAAGAAGAAGAAAGTTTGTTTTTTAAAGTATATTAAGAGACCGTTTGAAGCGATCGATTGTAACGATCACGTACGCGTAAACACATGAAAGTGACAATTTTGTAATCCAGCCATAACATTTGAAGTTGCTGTTTACGCGATCGTTACAATCGATCGCTACAAATGTAAGTCTCGGCCTCGTAATGTACTACGGAAAACAATCTTTTCTCTTCTTTCAAGAAATTCTTAGTTTATGAGCGTAAAAGTATCTTTGTCCAATGTAGCATAAGTGTTTTCATATGGGGGCCAGTTGTCTGAAGATCGGGGACGAATTGTCTGGGGCTAATTGTCCAGGGGGCGAGTTGTGTGACATTCGGCTGTAAACCCATAAGGTAGGTGTAGTGTTGAGTACCCTGTCGCCAAGTGCTTTGCACTGGAAGTATTACGCCTGCTGGGCCTGTCTCTTTCGGGTGTGATAATCCCTTAGTTAATCTCATTTAATCTCATTAAATATGGCATGAGCCGACTAGCTCAAGTTATCAAAAACAATAAGATAATTTTTTTCAGTACAGCCAAACCGGTGGAAGGGGGAAGTTTTATAGTTCTGTTAAGCACGAAGTTTGCTTCTGAAGTTGCTCCGAATGTTTTATTAATCCTTTTGAACTTTCGTAAAACAGATGCAGTCTCACTTCGTCTATCAACTTTCCTTTTTCTTGCCGGCGTTAGATATGCTTTTCGCGATTCGATTGCACCTATTATATTTATTTAAAGGAACAATTTTTAAAAGATAGAAAATGTCCCTCTTTCAATAACGTGGTGGAATAAAATAATTACGCAAAGGTATTACTATGATACTTTTTGGTGGGAAATATTTTATTTTTACCAGCACTGCTATGCCTAATTTTGTCGATAAACGGAGAAAATTGCTCAGATTGTTAGACGACATTTCAGCTTTTTGGAAGCCATTGCCAAGAAACTGAATGTGCCACAGGGCTACACCCAATTACGAAAGATATTTTCTCCCTTCCAG